GCGCCTGGTGTTCCCGCGACCACTGCGACCTGCACGGTCAGAAAGCAGAGGAGGCTGAACAGGGAGGAGATTGGTGGCTTTCTCCGGGAGGCAGAGAAGAACAGGAGGCTGTGAGTGAAATGTGCTTCAACTTTTGTGATACAGTTAAGGATAAATCAAATCACATGAAGCTTAACAGACAAATAAAAGAGCCACCCAAAAACTGTTTATTTCATCCACCCAAAACTATTTAGTTAAATATTTTATATAAAAATTATACTGACTTAACTGGACTCAATATTTGATAGATGGACACATGCGACTTCGGCTAGGTCCATAATCTGAACTGCTGTCTGTAATTTGGGAGCCTGTGACGTAGTTTCATACCCTGTGATACAGAAACACATTTAACAAGGAGTTGAAACAAGAAAAAATCCCTTTCCCTGCCCTATAAATGTAACCACTGACTTTAAAATCAGCTGTTTGCTTTTTGCCGGACAGGATTGAAAAATTGGAGAAAGAGAGAGCCCTGACTGTTCTGTGCAGAAAGAATGCCTGGACAGATGTCATTGACGAACTTGAGGAATATGAAAAAATTCTGCAGAAAGAGAGGTTTTCTCAGAGTAAGTAATTTGTAGCTGATTGTCTTTTTTTGACATTAGGCAACTGTTTCACACTAGGATGTGCAGTCAATGTGAAATAGAATGGATTGCTCTTCTAAAGAAATAGATGTAACACTTCAGAAAATGACAATAAAAAAATATATGTGTAATGATAAATGTGTGCTCATGATTAGAAATACTTCTAATTCAAGCAGCACTAACAGAAGATGACTGCTTTCTGAACTAGCACCATCAGTCCTTCTTTTATGAGCTTTCATTCACAGCTCTCTTCAAATCCAACCATAACGTTAGATTTGAACGTCTTAGTTCATTTGATGTTGGAGTTTTAACCAAGCTGTTTTAGTCTAGCTTTAACCATTGGTCAAATATTGCCTGAAATTTGCTGTTTTTTTCTAACGCAGACCTTTTTGACAATTGCAGAAATTAAAATTCTTGCATCTTCTTAGTTTTTAAATCATACCTTATGTCATTTTGTGTTGAAGTTTTAAAATCCATACTGCATCCTCTATCAGCTCTTTCATCATGGCAAAGATTATGTGTGCAAGGGGTTTGAAGTAGAGTGATAAAACCGTTCATCAGTAATAGTTCTGAATCTGAAGCAGCAATTTGTGTAGACTTTGAATTTAAATGTTGACGTTCGTAAAGTATCTTCAATGTGCCTGAAACTTGCAGAAGCCCGGTAAAGAAACCAGACTGTTTCAACATGTTAGTGTACAGTTTTAACTGAAATATGATATTGTGGTTTTTCTTCAGAGACGATCCTTCAGAAGCAGCTACTGAAGATCAATAACGGTGTGAAGAAATTTCAGAAACACCTAACTGACGTCAAGCCGTCTCCTGAATGTAAGAGTTTTGTTTCTTGATGTTAAAGAACCTGCAGCTCGCTTGTTGTTGTCCATTACCTAGAAAAACTTATAGATATTGATTTTTTGTCATTATTAATATTAATATTTGAGCTATTTTCTGAGTTGATATGTGAAATAATATTGCAAGTTAAATAATAGAATCTCAGTGATGTGAAAATTAGAGTCTTTTGGGACAGTTGTTGACATTGTTTCTGCAATTTTGTTTGTATTTTCAGTGATTGAAAGACTTAAAGAAATAATGTTAGACGTGGAAATGTCAATAAATGCTCTAAAGGAGGAGCAGTGTTTACGGTAAAACAATTCGCTACACATTCATCTTCACACCTTTAGCCTCGAAAATGGGAAGAAAAAAAAGACATTACCTTTTATGAATGATGTTCTGTAACTGCATCCTTTACAATCTTTGGTAAATTAGTGAAAAAGCCACAACATTCACTCGGTATACACATTCGAAAAGTGTGCATCTTATGAGAAGCAAGTTTAAGTGCATCAAAGAATGTTCGGAAGTAGAGAAAATAGAAATAAAAAAGCATAATATATTGACTAAGATTATCTGTGGTGAAATGAAATTATTAAAAGGAATCAAACATAATGTTTCTTACTTTCTTTCAGCTTTGAGGAATATTCAAAGGAGGAACAGACGTGCAAGCAGGAAGTTGTTGCTTATGAGAGGAAGTTTGAAAACTGGAGTCTTCTTGTCAAGTCAAACCTTAAATTACCTGCAGCTTCTACTCTGAAGGTTTTCCGTTTACACCATTATGTTTTTTCTTTGTTGTTTAACACTCGCTTAAATAAGGAAAAGGGATGGCAGGCTATTTTTTCTTTTGTTTTCTTTAAGGCTAAACCCTTCAACAAAGATCTCCCTGCAGAGGTCAAAGCTTTGGAGGATTTCCTGCAGAAGACTGGAGGGTCTAATGGAGGCTGGGACCAATTTGATCACCAAGTGTTCTTAAAAGTAAGGAATACAAAGTTGGTCTGTTAATTACCTATTTATTATTTTTGACAATTTTAGTGGAGCAGCTTTTTTGTTCTAACAATGACAGGTCTGGGTGAAGCACGGCGGGCGCTCGTCATACAGGAAAGAGGCCAAACTCTACCTGCCGAGTAAAACAGAGGAGGAGATCCGGCAACACGAAGACTGGCATCAGGAGCTGCTTCACCTGCAAGACAAAAAGAGAGAGGTGGAGAAATGTGGAAAAGCGACATGTTAGAGTTTAGAGGAAGTAACAGCAGAAAAAAAATCCTGTTTATCTTCCAGGTCTATCATGCACAGTGCCTTGTGAAAGATGGAACCCTTTCACATTTGTTTTTCACAGATGAAAACTTGAAGAATGTTGAATGTTTTCATCTTCCGCCCCCCTGAGTTGTGTGCTGTGTTCCATGGGTTCTTAAGGTTGAAATGCATACAGGTGGACCTTGTCTGCTCATTTGGTGACTTGTGAATGCAGTTGTTTGCACTGGATTTTATTTAGGGGAACCACAGTGAAAGAAGCTTAATACACAAATGTACACCACACTTTTCAAAGCTTTATTTCTGAAAAAAATAATAATCAAAAGTCATATAAGCTCCTCCATGCATGTACTAGTTAATTACTACTTTTTTTGTAAGTAATTAATCTCAACAACCTTCTTTTTTTTTCAGGATTTGGTATGTGTCATGTGTAAATCTATTTTGTCCAGTTTTAACAGTTTTCTTCCATCCCATCCAGGCTATTCAACGCTGGAAAATCAGCAAAGATAAAGAACGTCAGAAGAGGATCCAAACTCAAGAGGAAATGGAGGAGGTACAAAGCAAAGGAAGGAAGGTCAAGAACTTGGCTGAGCAACAGCAGTGAGTATCAATAACTGAATAAATTCAGATCAGAAACATTTCACATTTGCCTCACACAAACTGTTTGTTAAGTCAAATCAATTATGTTTCAGGTCTGAGGAGGAGAAAATGGAGGTGGCACGGCGCCTGGAGGAATGGAAGAAAAAGAAAAAACAAAAAGAGGAAGAAGAAGAAGAACAGAAACTGGCTGAGGAGATTCACAGGAGAAAAAAAGAAAAGGTGCTTAGCGGTTCATATTTTGCCATAGACATTTTTTTTTCTAACTATAGCACTGCTTGTCAATCAAAATCACATAATCTGAGATTGCTTTACTGGGGCCCTCAGCAGATGCCTATTTTTGACAAAGTGATCTCTGTTGATCAGGAGGAGCGTCGCCGCCAGCTGGAATTAAAGATGGCCCTAGAGGATCAGCTGCGATTGAGGCGTGAGAAAGAGGAGGAAGAGGAGAAGAGAATAAGAGAGAAGGAACAGAGGGAAAGGGAGGAGAAGCAAAGAGAGGCAACAAAAGTCATCAAAAGCTTCAGTGAAAGGGTACCAAGTTCTAAAGTCTTAGAAATACATAAAAGCAAAAGATAAGGTGTAAGTTTGTACTCTCAAATTCAGAGTTTCTCATTAAATCACTTATAACAAAAAGCGTTCAGACAATAAACAGCAGGTTCCTTTGAGCTCAGCGAGAAGAAGGCATGATATCACCTTTGCTTTGCAAAATACATGGTTTGATTGCACCTTTGCAGGATCTTCACAAGGTGGAGGCAAAGCTTCATGAGAGGCAACTGAGGGAAAAGGAGGAAGAGGAAAGACAGAGAAGAATCATAACTAAACTAAAGGAAAAGGTGCAGTGACCAGCCTGAAATATTTCCACCTTGATTTCAAAGATTTCAGTCATTAGTCTCAGAGAAATAATTTGGTTTTGTTCTTCAGATGGATGGTCATGTGAACAGAGACCCCTCCAGGCTGATTCGCCCCACTAAAGGATGGGAGGAAAGGATGAAACACATGGGTCCTTGTCCTTCAGGACAAAGACCCATGCTCCAGATGTTTCACAGGTCTGGACCTGTAGGCTTGACTTTAAAGTTCTGATAAGTAACACCTAAGTAATTACATATTTTACTATTTTTTTTCCAGAGCCATCCCCTCTTGGAGACAAGGGCTGTGATGTCACCATGAACCGAGTCCGGCAATTTTCCACAGTTTCCGGAGCCTCTGTTTGACTTAAATCTTTTTTGTTGTTGTTGTTTTGGCACTTTTGTTGCAATGGTAAAGTATTTCCAAATAAAATATTTTTTTTCACTATAAAAAAATACTTTGCCTGTGTGAACTGAAGACAGTATAGTTACATTAAACAACCGTGTAAACAAAAATCTGAAATAAAACAGTCACAACAGGAGCAGTTCTTGATCACAGAGTAAAAAAGAATAAATAGCATCAAAGTGTTGAACGAGAGGCCACCTCCATGGAAGGTGAAGCTTGGTCACACAGCAGATTAACCCAGATAAAGAAGAAAGGCGTTTTTGTCTGTCTGAGGCAGACAAAAAAAAAGCTCTTTAATTTTCCCTTCACTCCCAGAAACAAATTATCACCGGGTTGATGTATGAGAGTCAATATCACAAACGCAATCCCCATAAACTCAACCCCCTGCTAGAGGCTTTTATTTTGAAAAGCAGACGCACCGGAAAAGATTCCCCATAGGTGCGGAAACAAAGATGGCGGAAGAAGAGAACCAGTTTGAAGAATTTGAGCAGATAGACTTTTTGAGAGACCGTCATGTCCGATTCTTCCAGAGGACCTTGCAGGTGTTACCTGAGCGGTACGCGTCGCTGGAAACAACCCGGTGAGTCCGACAGATGCATCATGGGAGCTCTGGTCACTGTGGTTTGATGGGGAACTGAACAGCAGAGGAGCTAGCTGTGATTCATTAGCTCTCAGTTCATTAAAAGAAAACTCATATTAGCCATTAATGAACCACTCAGGCGTTCTGGGTATGATAATGTGGCAGCTTATATGGATGATGTGATGTTTCCAGCTATTTCTGTGTTAAGGTCTATCATTCAGTTAACCCTCATTTTCAGCTTGGTTTTCATCTATATTGTGTTTTTAAATGAATCAGTGAGTACATTGTAAGATCTCCTGCCTTCATTTCAGGTTGTCTATTTTATTCTTTGCCCTGTCTGGTCTGGATGTGTTGGATGCCCTGGAGGTGGTGGACAGTAAAGTGATGATTGAGTGGATTTACTCACAACAAGTTCTACCCACCCAGGATAGTAAGTGTCACATCTATTTTTATGATATTTCATGAAAATGTTATTTTTCATTTAATTGCAATGTCTTGAGATGAAGTGAGTTGCAAAGTCGGATTATGAAAAGTACATTTCCGCCAGAAAACTAAATGTTTTAAAAATGTTTAAAGTTGAAAATATCACTCGGTAATTATGTGCTGTTGAAACATCGGAAAATGAACACCTGAAAAAGTTTAACACCTAAAAAGACTTGAGTACGGAAAGCTAAGCCTGGTGGGGGCATAATTAAAGCCTGGTGGCCCGCCAGGCTTACAATGCACTGGGGGAAACATTGTAAATGTATAGAGTGTATTAGTGTTTTTCGTCAGAGCTTAGTAACAGCATCAATAATGTTATTCCATGCTTTGCTAAAAATGCTTTTCAGAGTAAAGGAGGCTGGAATTGCTCAGACGCCTACAATTTTTTTTGGCGTTTCCTCAAAAATAATCGTTTGGATAGATTCAAATGTGTTTTTGAAAAAATCTGTTTTGTTTTTCATTAATCAGTGACGGCAGGAGAGAGCTGGGTAGTCTGATTAGGGCCTCTTTTGTGGTAATGTAGGAGCTGCACATAAACTAAAATCTCTTCATTTCTCTTGTTGACCCTCACTTTTAGTGGTGAGATGTTGACCTTGACTGGGAGAACTGGATCCTGGAAGCGTGATGTGTAAATGAGCTTCATCCTAAATATTTCCAGGTGCAATTTTTGATTACCAAGTATAAAAGAATGATTAAATATCATAGTGTTGTCATGACAGGCCAAGTAAGGAATTTCTGACATGTGGCTGCTTTGCTCCTTCATCTCAGTTTGGACTGCAGCCTCTGCTCCTCCACATTGATAGGAGTCAAATTACATGATTCTGGCACTCCATACTTTTGTGTCCAGAAAAACAGCACATTGAGAACTAGTTGGATCTAGTTTCCTTCTGACTCAAGAACCTGTTGGGTTTCTGACTTAAGAACCTGTTGGGTTTCCTCACTGTGAGCTGGAGAATGCCTCTGGGGAGTGGCATGTCTTCCCTTCAACACTCTTCACCACATCGGCCAAATATGGATTTCACGTTTTCTTTGGCTGATGGATTTTAATTTGAATCAGTTAAGGTTTTTGTTTCTTCATCTAAAAAGTAAGAGGAGAAAAGGCATTTCTGCTGATTATGTGATCAAGGAAGGAATTAGAAAACTAAGGAATTAAATTTCTGTAATTTAAAATTCCTCTCCAACTTTGATCCAATTCTTAGAGAAAGGAAAATAAAAAAGTGCATTCATTGTCAGCCTGTTAGTTGATATGTTTAATGTCCAAAAATAGTGCAGGTTTTTAGTAAGGGATAATTCTAATTTTTTTGTCAAATGTTGATTCTACTTTAAGTTATTGTAAGTTAATTTGTTTCACACTGAGGCAGTCGTCTTTGCATCCTCCGACTCATCAAACTTTAAAGTCTGCCATGTTTCTTTTCCCACTCTGCAGATTACAAGGCAGCTATTGGCCCTCAGTTGTCTGCAGATAACCCAGTGCTTCCTTACAGCTGTTCATCAAAGAAAAGTTTGACTCTCAGGCTTTTAATGACTTGTTTTGGGACTGATATGTTATTTATTTATATATTTTTGCCTCCAACAAGCCACTCCATACCATCTGTTGAGATCATTAATTATTGAAGACATCAATGGAGATGATGGAGGAATAGTCGTGCTTGATGGATTTCTGCTGCAGCCATATGTTGGGAGGCTGGCAGGCTTCTTCTCATTAGATTTGACAAAAAAACAAGTTTAGAGACAACTGTGATTTACTAATGATTCATTAGTATGATAATCCCCTATTTAGCAAACTATTAAGACTTTCAGAAAGCATTTTGCTTATTTGTGATGTTAGTCTCCTATAAAATGCTGGTATTTGGCAGAATTCATCAGTGTATTGATGCAGGGGATCCACATAAGGGTTTCTGTATAAGTTGGTGGAAGATAAAATATTTACTTTTCCTTCAGTACAGAGGTCGGATGCCATATTTTTACCTACATTAATATATTGGTCCATTCGTTGTTCAGTCATTGCATAAAAATGTTAAAGCTTCTGTCATATTGTGCGGTTTGTCATTTTAATGTGGCTTCCTGTTTCCGTGGTGGCCAGAAGGTGGCAGCAGAGCACTCCTCTTTGCCTATTGTATTGATGAGAACCTTTTCTGCAGGTCATAAAATGAACAGAAGGGATTTAAAATGTAAATCAGAAGACTAATTTAGTTTTTTTTTTCCCTTGTCTCTTGTGCTGAATATTTCCATCATTTCTTTCTGACCATTACAGAATCCAATCTGAACCGTGGAGGGTTTCGTGGATCAGCACATATTGGGATTCCTTACAGCACAAAGGTACAACCAGAATTTTTTTTGAAGTTTGAGTACTGTGGCTTTTGGTATTTTATTTTTTTTTTATCTCTCAGTAAATTTACTTTTTTCTATTATCAATATCAGTTTCTTGATCATTTATTGCTTCAGTAGAATGATGCAAATAGCAGACCATAGTGCAGCAGATGCTGTTTGTTGCTCAGTAGAAAATGTTGGACAAGGTGTCCAACAGTTGTGAGTGCCAGCCTTGGAAAGCACCAGTGGCCAAATCATGATGGCTATTATTAGAAATTAAAAAAAGAGAGAGATTAGCTTTTTTCTCTCCAAAATTAAACTAAACAGAGAAGAGTTTCCTCTTCTATGCTTATATTATCTCCAAAATATTCTGTCTGTGTCTGCAGCCATCAGCTGCATCTCTAATTTCCCTCTCGGTTGTTGTCCTCAGGGTCCAGGTGTGCTCCATCCGTATGACAGCGGCCATGTTGCCATGACCTACACTGGCCTGTGCTCACTGTTAATCCTTGGAGACAACCTGAGTCGGGTGAACAAAGAAGCTGTTCTGGCTGGTCTCAAAGTGCTGCAGCTTGAGGACGGCAGGTTGGCACACACTTTGGCTCACTTTTGCACCTAAATCCTTATTTAACGTGGCATTTTCACTCTGACTCAGAAGCACCCAAAGCCATTTGAACACAGATTTAACACGGTCTGACTAAAGCTTGCGTGTGGATGTTCTGTAATTCAAAAGCAACTAAATTTGAGACACAATCTCCTGTCCTCTAGTAGCTGGAGCAGCTGCATGCTTCAGTGTGCGGATGTTGACTTTTCTCCTAAATCTTTGCTGAGATCTTCTTCCCAGAAACTCACTGATTATGTTGAAGATCAGCTGGTGATAACATGTGCAAACATAGCAAGTAAGAATGTGTGTAGACTAAAGAAAATGAACCATTTCTGTTCCTCTGCTCTGACCTGAATTTTTACACCTCACTTCATGATGTTGTTCAAGTTCAAGCACAACGTTTTGTGTAACTTAGTGGCCTAATACACTGCTCTGCCATAAAAACTTTGTTCGAAAAACAAAACGAAGCAAAAGAAGTCCTGTGAGACGACTAAATGGAAATGATCATTTATACCCTCCAGTTCAACATTGTAATGAAGAGAGAAGCAATTAGCACCATTGCATTTAAATTAAAACTTCATTAACTTAAAATAAAAACATTGCTCTTAATGTTGCTGTAATGATCCCAAACGTCCAGTCCTGGCAGAGCGCGGCCGTTGTTGAGTTGGCGTTCTGGGATCGATCCCATCATCATTCCTCACAGCAGCTCTGTCCCAAAATGCCTGGCTGTGATTTTCCAGTCCAGAGGTTTTGTTTATAACCTCTATTATGGTAATCGAACTTCTCCAGGATCCCTGAGGTAGTCCCAGATATTTACCCCAGAAGCAGCCTATTGCATCCTTGTCCTTTCTCTCCTTCTCTATTTTTTCTTTTTCTTTTTTTCATAATTAATTCCTTATTAATATGGTGTTGTCTTAAAAACTGTACTATTATTCCAATCACTTGGGATAAGACCGTCTCATAATACTTGGGCGGTTAAAAAACACACAATCTCTAAATTAGAGCTATGTGGGCTGGGTCTCATTTTGTTTAATAGATTCAAGCAATACATTGTAGTTGGACACCTGTGGCTACTTGTTTCATATGTTTGTATTTTTGTTAGTTTCACACATGACTTATTGGTCCAAAATGCAGAAGTGTGCCCAGGAACATTTTACAGTGACTAAAATAGTTTGTCAGAACATCAATCTGAAAGCGTAAAACCAGAACCCAGACAGGTTTTTTTTTCTTTTTTAAGTGTAATTCTGCTTTTTTTTTTGTTTGTTTGTCTGTCTGGCTTTCAGTTTCTATGCCGTGCCAGAAGGAAGTGAGAATGACATCCGGTTTATCTACTGTGCAGCTAGTATCTGTTACATGCTGGATGACTGGTCAGGCATGGACATCCAGAAAGCCATCGAGTACATCCGGGGAAGTTTGGTGAGTGAGTGTTGACAGTTTAAATAAAGTGTGAAGCTTCTGATCCTCCTTCAGTGGGATAAAAACAACAAGATGATTCTGATGTGAACGCTCCCACAGTGGACAATAACCATTCTTTTCTGCAACATAAGAAGTGAAATTAAAATGAACATAGCCCTCGTACTGCTACGAGGTGTCAGTTTATTTACAGACAGTTCATTTATAATACTTAGAGAAGATAGAGAAATGTGTCATAGTCTTAATGCATCAGTTAAAAAGAATAAAAACTGTAATTTTCCCAGCTTTCTCCACTTTGTTTGAATTTCTGGGCGTCAGACACATCAAAGCGCAGTGTTTTCTCTTTCTCCTGAGCTGCACACCTGGGAAACTTCAGCGTGTATCAAGTTTAACATTTCGGAGTCTGTGTTGTTTTATGGGTGTGTTCGTGTCATGCTTATTCGTATCTATTCATGTCCTTTTGACATGACTAGATACACACCGAAAGTCAGGACATAAGTTGAGTTTGGTTTAGAGAACTCATTTAAATTGTGACCTTGAAGCTTATTTTGGTAATGTAGAAACTGCCTTACATGCAGAGATGAATCCATGCAGTAACCATTTTTGCTTTAGTCTCATCAGAGTAGGAACAGGCTGGGAATTATTTGTTCTTCCCAGCTGACAACCGCCTCTAGCTTAGCTTGTATGTTTTGTCTGAAACTGTCCAAAATAAAATCCCTCAGACTGTTTGTGCTTCTTTGGTTATTTTTATTTTTTTGTCCTGCTTTAGCAAAAAGCCTGTTTAAGTGGATAACAGTCATGGATTGAAAATGCAGTAACATTCCTAATTTAATAAAAGATAGCGAAAGGCATCCTAGATTACAAGTAGATTGTGTGAAATAAAAATTTCTAGAGATCTAAAAATGGGGCATCAGTTTCTCATGAATTTATTTCAAACAAAAATAAATGTGAGGATGAGGAAGTAGCTGTATGTGATGCATCTCGTGACACATGCAATGCGTGGGAATCTTTGCCAACCATATCTATTCCTTTGTTTTGCTTGGGGGTTTTTGTCCTGCTTATTTTTTGAGAAGTAAATTATGGAATGGAAAAATGTTCTGCATTAGCCTCAAGTGTTGAACTCTTCAGCTCTCTGTGATTAGATTTCTGATTTTAGTTAGAGATTCAACAGTTGGCTGGCGAGAAAAGAAAGTCTACCTTTTTTTTTTCCTTCTTTGAACTGAGGATCAAATACTGCAGCATCTGAATTAATTCGCCATCTGTTAATTAAATAGATCAAAACTTAGGCTGATCGTAATAGAAGTTCAGTAAACAGTCAACAATACTTCATCCACTTTGAAAGTCAAATAATTCATCAGTCAGATAAAGTTCAAGGTTTTTGAATCAAGTACAAAATTACTACTTTTCTCTAGGCATATATTATGGTTAAAATGTTAACCTAGTCAGAGTTGATCAAAATAGCTGTCAGCATGTTGGAGTTCAAAGAAACCAAAAATCGACATCTGACCTGTAGTGATTTTTAAAAAAATATTTTCCTCTGGTGTGGTAACATGTATGCTATGTTCCTCCTCTTCAGAATCTCTTATTTGTGTCCACATCAATTATTATTGATTAAAATATAATTTCTGCATTCATTTTCTCCATAGTCATATGACAATGCATTTGGCCAAGGAGCTGGGAGAGAGTCTCATGGTGAGTGCAAATTTGTTACATGTTATAAATGTAAACTCCTAATAAGATTAAATAAGTACAAGAAAGGACACACAGTGTTGCAAAAAAAAAAACATTCTGAATAAATTTGGTAATTTAAATAAATTTTTTATTTTATTTCGTTGGGTAATTTTTTCTACAAATTATTCAGAACATATTATAACCAATATGTTGGGGATTATAGTTGTAAAAGGCAAGAAAAAAACTGTTTATGAAGGATTAACTCTACAGAGCCGTTGCCATTGTTTTCTATCATTAGTCCCCCACTCCAATTAGACCTTTGTTTTTGTTTTTTTTCTTTTACAAAAGCTTTCAGGCGATGCAACAGAAGCAGTGCTTAGCAACATATCTGCATGACCTTGGTTGTACAGTGAAGATAAAATTCCTGCCAGCTATGATGTGCTCTCGAAACGCACATTTTTTAAAAAAAAATTGCAACTGCTCCAAGGAGTAAATTTTATTGGATCTAAGTGATTTTCTTCTCGCTTTGAATTCAAGTTCTGTGATTAAAGGCTCGGGTGAGACTGTGCTGAGCCTACCGACTCTCCAAACGGCTGATTACAAATCGGCAGAGATGCTTAGTCGAGGCCCATTACTGGTCTACCCTTGAGGTGTGTGTGATTGTTCAGTGCCAAGACCTCCCAGCATTGCTTTGAACGTTCACAGGCACATTTTTTGGGGATGTTATGTCTGTGCAGTTATGTAGGTGAAACATGAAATTATAGAACCTCATGGGTCTGGGCATGAGACTGGCATTTATGTATCCGATTTCAGTCCTTAGTGTATATTTAGGACTTTATTTTGTTGTTTTATCCAACTTTGCTGATCCCAACACTGGTATCCATGGATGATGTTTCTTCTTGCCTAAAGGAAACTATTTCAGAAAAACAAATGATCTGAAGCCACCAGATGTTCACCCCTCACTTTAAGCTTCGAGTAGAAACGATCCTTCAAGTGGATGTTCAATTTATTGCACAGACATGTCACCACATCTTTCTGCATTCTTATTAAATGTGTTTTTGTAACCTTCATGTAAAGGTGAGGTTAGGACCTCAGCATGAAATTAAAATATACAAAAAATACATAAATTTTACTTATGCTCTTCAGGAACAAGAATGCATAATGCAGCAAAAGCAGAAGAAGTAGGAACACTTATGTTGGGTTGAAGTAAAAATTATTTGTTTGACACGTCACTATTTGACCGACCATTAATCAGAACATCAGAAAAGTCTGAGAAATCATTAGAGATTTAAATATGTAAAGCTGCACTTTCAGTGTAATCTGTAGATATGCACAAGTTTGAAAAAAGTGATCAGGAGTCGCTTGTTAAAAAACTGCTGATTTCCAAGAGCAAAGTGACTGAAATGTGACATCAACTTTGGTACATCCTGGAAAAAGTTACGTTTTCAAGTAAAGCAAGTTTTACTTCCCCTTGGAGTCAGAGCTTTATAGCCTGATTAGCTAATCATCAAGCCACTACTCCACAATGACAAGAAGTACAATATGTTTGACAGTTGAAAGTGGGGCATTAAAACCTACTAGCCCTGTACCTGTGAAGGCAGCATCAGGTTGTGACAACAGTAAACAACAAACTTTGACACTGGGTGCATCAACAGCACAATAAATCCCACGCACGCATCTAAATTGGCCTCTGAAGAAGAGATAAGAAATGCAAATATTAACTACCTAAGAAGTTTCCATCCCAAAAGCAATATCCCAAGCTTTTATGGAAATTAATAGAGAATGAGTCAAAGCCGGTTGTGTTCCAGGAAATAAATTGATTTAAATGAGTTTTGCCTTGAGGTTGATTGCAAATTTCCAGCCTGAATGATACCATAAGCTTGTTGATGACAAGTGGAAAAAAAATGGTGGTTATATGTATTAGGGGTTTTGTGTAGAGTTCATTTAGATGAAAGAAACTAATCCCTAAATTTGAGTTTGCTGCTCCGAACTCCTTAAAGTTGCATTTGTATAATTATTGTAATGATTAAAGACTGAGACACTAATACCCATAGAGCGCCACAGCCTGCAGCTTTATGTGATAACTCGGTGACCCGTGTGCCAGGTGGTTGGACGTACTGTGCCATAGCCTCGCTGTGCCTGATGGGCCGGCTGGACGAGGCTCTGAGTCCGCGCGAGCTGAACAGGATCCGGCGCTGGTGCATCATGAGGCAGCAGAGCGGCTTCCACGGACGTCCCAACAAACCTGTGGACACGTGCTACTCCTTCTGGGTGGGAGCTACACTGGAGGTAGCAAACACTAAAACGTCTTCCTTCTTTGTCACATAATAAATCAATGCCTGCTGTGTCTTACAGTCTACATTTACAGAAACAAGTTTGAGGTTGAAGCAACCTTACGCTCCAAAGTTTAAGGTTGCTTTGGAGATTTGTTGAAATTAAGACCTTCTGCTGTCATCAGTCTATAAATCCATGAATGTTTGATGTCCTTTTGGAGATAACCTTTTAATTTACTAATGGATTCAAAACTACATCTATGAAAGATGTCTGAGAAAAATATTAAAGATTCTGGAAATCGGTATCAGTCAAGAAAATCCTGATTGGTAGATCTGTAGTTCTTAAAATATTTTCTAATTTGATGGTTCTTGTCATTTTCTCCAGCTCCTGGATGTGTTCCAGTTCACACACTTTGAAAAAAACAGGAGCTTCATTCTGTCCACACAGGACCGTTTGGTCGGCGGCTTCGCCAAGTGGCCTGACAGCCATCCAGGTAAATGATTCCACTTGACTTCTACCCTCTACAGGAGAAACACCATGCTGTAGTTTTTTTTTTTTTTTTGTGGTTCTTACATCCATAAACCAGAAATGCCTGGTGTTTTTATAGTGCAGTAACAACCACAGGAGCAAAGCAGGCACTGAATGGCATGTTTAATGACTGTGTAGCGCTTCCTATTCATTCTCTTGAAGCTTCAAAGATCTCTCATTAGGGACAAAAACATTGTGGATCTAAGCAGTTTCAGCTCGTTTATGTTCCTCTCTTTGAGCAGAACAGTTTGCGCCTCATCTTCCACAGGTGCAGTGAAACAGGGTGGAGCTGTGGTGGCCACTTTTACTTCACATCAATGGGAAAAGAATCTCCTGAAACCCTAAACTTCAGCAGTCGTGTTCTTGCCTGCCCTCATGCTGGGTAATTGATGAGGCGATTGTTTATAGGTTGCCTGAGGAAACGGCAGACGGAGCTCCTCGTGTTACCGCAAACAGACAGGAGGACAGTGTTCAGGAGAGACAGACGGGACGTAAGCTAGTGAATGTAAATGGATGAAAGAGTTTTATGGAAGAAGGAAACAATAGTGAACTAATGTTTCCATGACAGTGGGAACAACTGGTTCAGGGCAACTGGGTTGGTTACTTGGATATGGGACAATGGATGCAGACGTGCATCAAAATGATTCTAGATTAGTTTTTTTCTGTGTGTTTTGTTGCTTGGCGATTCTTTATTCTATGTTAAAATGTGGAACAAGAGACTAGAAAGCCAAAGATAGAAAACGGTTTTATTTAAACCTCTTAAATTGCAAATGGAGAGACTGGTGTAGATTCACAGTCATCCAAGACGCCACAGAAAGCAGCCAGACTTCTGCTCTTGTTTCTTGATTCGCCTCACATCCATAGTTTCTGTAACGTCTTGAAGACAAGCAGTGTGGAACAAAGAAAATTCACGTAATATCTCAGTGTCTAGGATTTACTCCTAACTCCATTAAACAAAAGCGAAATTAATTTACCAAGATCTACTTTTGTTTGTTTTGCTGTTCCAAAATGTATTTTCCTCATTGAATGTTTTTGTTTTCTAAGTTACTGACAAGAAACTGTGACAAGGTCTCGTAAGGATTGGCAGATTTGAGAAAATGTATTATTTGCAATGTACTAAGATAAAAAAACAAACCCATTAAAGCCAAGTGTAGAAGCTGGAGCGTTTTAACAACAAAGTAGATTTTTGAACAAGATGGTACCTGTCTGATGTGTCGCTGTATCTGAAGGAAAATTACAGCGAGTCAGAGGTAAGATGGCAGATAAATGTTCTGCTTTGCTCTTGTATGGCCGGCTGCAGAGACGCAACAGAGTAGAGGAGCATTAAAAAAGACTAAACATCCTTTTACTGACGCAACTCATCAATAGCCACCATTTTTTGAAAACTTGGTGTTTATATGGTTGTGATGACTACAATTTAAAAGCTTATTTGGCTGCCAGAAAGTCAGATTAATGAGAGCCAGACACTTCCAAGCCAGGACTTCATCACATACGTGTTGAAATTGCCCTTTTGCTGTTAAGTCTGTAACCTCAAGTTTTAGGCTGCAAGTTTGTAAGTATGTGTGAAGTGGAGGGTGGCACAAGCCGCCCTTCATTCTATCCAAGCACTCTGCAGCCACTTGATTGTTTCACATTACTTGCTTCTCCTGTGTCAGTCGTTTATTGCAGGATGTGGCTGGCTCTCTGGATCTCTGTGCAGTAACTCTACAAAGCATCTCGATATTAAACACGGATTGAAAGTCGCTGTAATATTAAGGCCTTTTGAAATCACATTCTCACTGGTATAACTCTGAGTCCGAGTCCTGATGGGTGAAGCTGATGGTTCTGTGATTGAGTCTAATGTCCAATCATTTGTCGTTTCATTATAATTCAATTACTGCTCCACTTACTGGCCTGTGGAGCTTTTATTCTCGTCCCGAGGGAGAGAGAGAGAGAGAGAGACGCTCCTACGGGCAAAGCAGCGTGGACCATTCACATGTCCTTAAACGTGCATTACACAAACCTTGGGACAGCTGGAGGGTCCAATGAGTTTATAGATTGACTCAATCAGTAAACATCCACTCTAAGTACTAGCTCTGTCACATTCAGGTGCTGTTATCAGCACTGACCTGCTTTCTCCCTTTTGTCCGTGATTTCGCCTCTCCAGACCCTCTTCATGCCTACTTGGGGCTGTGTGGCCTGTCTCTGATCGGAGAGCCTGACCTACGGAAGGTCCACCCAGCTCTTAACATCACCCAGAGAGCCTTTCAGCACCTCCAGCAGCTGCAGCAGTCGTGGAGGGACAACGCCGGCAGCTGCGTCGGACAGCAGTGAAAGCGGGACGATTTACTGCGTTCACTCCGGAGCGGACGCCGTCTGTCAGTCACCGGTCGAAGGCGGCAGGACTTCTGCCGCATCTCAGACATGTTTGGCTGCTCAAGAAGTTTGAATTGTTTGGAATTGCGAGGATCTAAACACTTGGGGACCTCATTTAAAGTCCATCTAAAGCAACTTATTTGTTGAGCAATATACGCCACACCTCTTTGCTGCCTTTTAAAAAGAAAAGAAAACAAAAAGCAAGTAGTTGTTAATAAAGCTATGCGGTGCGGTTTGTGAAAATACAATATAATAATGTGCCAGAAAGTGTAATTCACTGGAGACTTGAACAAACGTCAGATGCCTCCATCTTTATTTTATGGCCTTTTTTTTTTCTTTTTTTTTTAATTATGACACTTTTCTTCAGAGATGTATTGCTTTACTTCCTTTTCTCTGCTTTGCTAACTTGCCTGGCACTTCAGTCCGAACGTAGCTGCTGGATGTTTTTAACCTCTCACGATGCATCAGGTTTTAATGGGTCGTGACCTCTGCTCCCCAGCTTGAAATCTGATACCATCCCTAAAGCTTTGCTCCCTAAAGCTTCTCGCTGCAACGTTCTCCAGTTTCACCTCTGCAAGCTTTAATTTTCAGAGCTCAAGAGATCGAAATAAAAATAAAAATGGAACTGCTTGGGTGACATTTGAAATGGGGCTAAATGTTCCTCGGTTGTTGATTAGTTACGAATTTTAAGAAGATTTTGGAATTGGTTTCACTTGAAGCCTTTTTATAGGGATTTTATCTGACAGGCCACACCCTGCGTGGCTCGTAATTATGCAATGGAAGGAAAATTGTACAATGTTTTCAATATTTTTTTCAGAAATCTAAAGTACAGAGCATTTCTCTGTTTGTTTAATTCCTCTACATATCTGCTTTATATGTGATGAAGGGCACTTTCAAACATTGGATTCTCCATTGGATGTAATTCTGGACTTTGACTGGGCCATTTTAACAGATCAAAACGCTGTGTTCTAACACATTTCTTTGTACCTCTAGCCGTGTGCTTGGGGTTGTTTTCCTCCTCCTCTCCCCAAGTCTAAAGAGTTGCTGCCAATAAGAGGCTTTCATCAACCCTGACTACTTTTATCATTCCTAGTGAAAATGTTTAAAGTTGGTAAAACTGTGCTGGGGTTTAGGGTTGGGTTTCCATCACGTCGCCTTTTGCTTGTGAGGCTAAAAGTTTTGGTCTCATCCAACCAGAGCCTTTTCTTCCACATGTTTGCTTTGTGTCAAACTCCAAACATTGCTTCTTCTGTGAGGATCACACATGTGAGGAGGAAAAGCTTGTCCCGCCTGAGCAGTGGGCCCCCGCAGCTCCTCCAGAGTATATATATATATATAATTGTAATTTTGAAAACCGTGTAATTTTCCTTCCACTCCATTATTGTTTGGTTGTAATGCAAAAACTTGTAAAAACAAAACAAAAAAGGAATTAAGGCGCATGAATAATTTTGTCAAGCGCTGTAAATTTCCCCTCTCGAATTCAAAACAAATCTCCAGCAGTGTGTTACAGAGGCTCCTCATGACCTCATTCACCTGTGAGGTCACATCCAGCTGGAAATCTACGGAGAGATTAGACAATAGCCTCATAACCAGAGGAAACTGTTCTTTGAACTGTTCATTCGTAACTCCAGAAAGGATGCAGGATGAAATAAAGAACAATGGCCGTGACTGCACCTCCATGTGTCAGGAAGCAGAAACGGCTTCTGTTGATCGCCATGAAGACTTTCAGTTCACTCTGACTTCTTTGCAGGTGTTTGAGCTGAGGTCCAAAATGCCGTTCATGACCTGGCAAAGAGAGTCTTTCCACCTTTTGCCTTTACATCAGTCGTCTGTCTGGGAGCAGGAAAACACATTTCCAGCTTTCACACATCGCTACTTGAAGCAACACCCCTTTCTCTCTTTTTCTCTTATTATAATGAGGCCACAGTGTGAGGTGACACCTGCTCCCCGAGCTCACGCGTGATGAGACGCTTTGACTGCATGTCAGAGACGCAGCTGCCCGTCTGCTGCTTGTTTACCTGCAGCTCTTCTCTGTGCAGACGCGCCTGTGACTGCATTTAGAAGCCACACTGAGGCTGGCTCTGCTATCGGGGAAAAAAAAAAAAAAAGGGGAGAAGATGTGAGGAGAGCTGAATGAATAAATAACGTGAGCCATCTATTATTAAAAGTAAGCTGTCAGAGGCTGGATTCAGCTCTTTGAATCCAGACCAAATCCTCGGCTTTGGTGCGAAAACAATAGGATTCTTAACTAATGTGCTGTATTGTTTATTTTGCACTGATGTGAAACAATTTTTCTTTCTCAAATAATGTTACCATTTTTTTATTATATATACATAATACATAGAAACCGTTACCACAAAACGCTTTTAAAATGTTGCTGAAACGTGTGGAGTTTTTTCTATCACACTCTCTAACGTTGTGTTTTCTTTACCTATATGTTACAAGCCTGTTCTCTGGTTGAACATAAAGCGAACTGGAGCACTGTAAGTAATCAGTTTTCTTCTTGGTTTCCAACCAGAGTGATTCAGGTTGGCTTTTATTTGTCCGTGTACATAGATGAAGTCACATGATGAAGCCACTTTTCTCCAGCTTGCCTCCTTACTGTGCCTAATGGATTGTTTTCCGTCGCTGCTCTCTGAATGCTTGGCTTTCGTTTGCTTCTCTTATTGCCTAATTTAGATTTTGCGTGGATCCTTCTATGAAAAGTGACAGTGAATATCAAGTCAACCTACACAGGAAGAGGATCGTGTGACCTGGATATTTGTTTAGATTTCACAGGACCATACGTGTTGTTCACATGTGTGACGATCAGATATATAAGTAGGCTGCTTTCTGATTGGTATCGTCCAGGAATATGTTAGGATTTATTTTGTCATTGTCACTTTGCAGTGCTAATACATTGTTATTTCAGCTCATATTACACAGCAGACGAGACCCTCAGTTCCAGCAGCATGAAATACAGACAGCACTGCTTTGTGCTTCCAAAAGCTGTGAAGAAATTGTCCAAGAGATGCAGCCAAAACACCACATGCCGTTTTACGAAACACTGCTATACATATTGTAACGATAAATCATGTAACAAAACAAAATAATGGAGTTTATTTTTTCTATGCTTTATAGAAATGTTGGTGTAGATAGATGTAAATGTCTATGAAGATGCGACTTCTGCTGGGGATGTGACCAGAAGGTCTTTACATCAGAAGCTCCGGACCTGCAGGTGTTGGTGTGTGACGTGTTCTTGAAGTGCGGCTTTTCGAGTTTGGACTAATGCTGATTCTCGCTTGGCACAGAAATTGTATTTATGGTTAATAAAACGTGTACTAACTTTGACACTTGTGTGCATTTTGTGTTATCGAATGATGCTTTGGAAAAGTAAATCCCGCATGATGCGACCACAAACCTCAGAGTTTTATGGGGATATTGACCAAAAGAGATGGAAAGGTATAAATTGATTTCAAAATAATCCCCGCTTCATGATGCTGCCACTGCTGTGTTTCACTATAGGGGTGGTGTTCAAGGTGTAGTTTCATCTAACCGCAGCACCTTTCTTTTTTTCCTGTCTCTCTCCCAGAAAGAGGTCAAAATTATTGCCGTAGTTATCTTTTCCCATGTTTGCCTTTTGGCCTCATATTTTAATGTAGTAGCATTTGATGTAATCGTTTAGTTTTAGCTACAGTAGCCACTTGGAGCCATTTTGTGTTTTGTTTAAATCAATGCATTCGATCTACTTTTTAGAGAACCAAATATAGATCACAATAAATACAGTTGGCAAGTCAGGGAGGATTCCTAATAGAGCTTCCTCATATTTAAGAACATAATTATTTGAAATATTTATCCAGAAATGGAACTAAAAGACACATTTGCAAAACAGAGTTTTAAAGTTTAAAACATTTTTTTTGTTACTTTCTTAGATTAGCTTCTTTTTTTTTTTTTTTTTACAGTTTCAAAAACCAGAATTATGATGTTCATTGTTTCACAGCCCATCTTTCCAAATGACAAAATGTGGAAAAAATACTGTTCATTTTATAAAAAAAAGTGGCATGATCTTAACATAGTCGTATGAGCTGCTATTTCACTTTTGTCTCATTTTCACTGGTTGATAAAAACTGTTACAGAAATTTTGGTTGATAAAATTAACACTGGTCTTGACAACAGATTCTCCCACCTCCAGAATTGCCGTTGTGATCTCGGCCGCTTCTCCCAACTCCCATCCTGCGAGTTAGGAGGAGCTGAACGGGCGTGAATACTTTGGAAAAGCGTTGATTCCTCTTGTAGGATGCAACCGTTCAAAGCACAAAGATGTGCAACCGAATCTGCCTTTTTGTTTGCCGTGACAAAAAGCCCAGGAGCTCTTCACGTACCAGGCCAGGATGTGATCCTATTCAGGTCATCTGGAAGCAACACAGAGACAACAGGAGGGAAAAAAACGGCACTGATCATCTTGCTGATGCTCATTTTGGAAATGTATTTTGTAAAGTCAGCTCTGCTTTGTCCCAACATACACCAACACAAAAAAAGCGAGGATTTTCCCTCTAGTTACTAAAATAAAATGGCCAGAAGTCAAACAGATAAAAGAAATGCTTCGGAAACTTGGGGATCCACATGGGAGGAACATTTTAACTTTTCCAGCAGAAGACAAAAAAAAAAAAAAAAGTTAAATAAATGTTAATCTGAGCTTCTAACTGAAATCATGAAGAAGTTTTCCTCTGCAGTTCTGCTTTGCTTTTCTGCTCTAACCTCTCGGTGGATTTTGACAAGGTAAATGCTGCCCACTGAAATGTTGTTGGTTACATGCTTTGAATGTTTTTTCTTGTAATCAGGCAATTCATTTGAAAGTCAAATAATTTTTTAAAGTTAGAAAACGGGCATAAAATATTTAAAGAATCTGAAATGGTAAGCACCGTGCCACCTTTTTGAATAGCCAGTGTTCATTTTGAAATTGGATAAATAGCAAAACAAAGTAGAAACGCATCCGTTTTTCAACAGCCAGCACACAGATCTGCCTCCACAACAAAGCTAAAGCATTTCGGAAAGAGACGAAGCTCGGTGACCTTTAGGGAAAGGAAACCAAACTAAAACATGATGGGATAAACCTATTCTGTTGCTGAAAGTGGGATGTTTCATAAGTACAACTTGTAAGAAAAAGTATTATTAAATATCTTGTATACATCAAGAGCTTAGCCTCTAAATCTGATGATTTAGAGTAAACAGGACAAACCTCGACTTCTCTAGATTTTAAACTGGCTGTTTGAAGCCCGGTGACTCAACTATTTTTCTATTTTTAAACCTTGAGATGAAAGCTGGTTTGCATTTTTCCCGATCTGCTCCATTTGCCTCTCATTTTCCTTATTTACTAGGTCAGTGAGTAAGAGCTAATTAAAATCTGAAAGGGGGGGCGGAGGGGCTCTGCTGGATCTCACATGCTGAGCCTCATCCCACCTGGGAGCCGAACTGAACGGACTCCGACTCCAAAGCTGCCGCTGACACGGTAATGTGAGACTAAAGAGGCACTGAGACATAATCTAGAAACCACAATCTGCTGCAGAATGACTTAAATATGATCCAATTACAGCTTTAATCTACCTGATGTGGGTGAGTATATAATAATTATCTGAGGTAGTAATTTACCTCAAAGATATGCCAATCAACCCTAACCTCCTGACCCCAACAGGGACAAGGGTGTAAGAAGATGGATGAGTGGATGTATATGCCAATCAATGCAAAATATTAATTATTCAGTCGGGCAGGGAGTTCACTGGTTTATGGGGCAGTTAAGAGTCGTCTCCAGTATGTTAAAGCGCATCATGAACTGCCATAAAATCTGCAACGTAAATAATGTGTCACACACATTTAAACATGAGTAAAGACTTTTTTGTTAATTATTATTATTTTTAGCATGGAGCTCACCTCTGATTTGGACGTCTGGGTGAATAAACAACATGTTGGACAACAGGGCATTTATTTCTTTAATGTAATCTTGTGAAGTTACCTGTTGGTCACATTCCTGTCGCATATGGTGCTCTGATCAACTAACACATGAACATAGAAAGGATGGAAAATTGACCTCATCATTAAAACAAGGGAGGTTTTTCATCCCGATAGCTGTCAGCGGAGGAGACAGTAGCTCACATACTGATTGAGCCATGTGTGCTGTCACCAAAAATCCCAACTTTTGATTTTATTTTTCAGTGTTTACATTCTGTAACCAGATTAAAATCTCTTCACGTTGAGAAAAAAACGTCTGACTGTAACTGATGACCTAAAAACGTAATAAATTAAGTGTGTGCAACGTGTCCCAAGAGAGCACAGTTCCTGTTTTCTTTGGACTTTCCAGACTTTGGACGTTTTGTTGTGGAACTTTACACTCTAAAATGTACCAACAAAATTGTTTTAAACCCCAAATATTACATTAGACAGATCAGTTAGCCCTATCTTCTCCACAGACAGCCAACAGCATAAATCTGTTATTTACAAGCCATTAAATGTAGAGTTCAAACTTAGAGGGCTGAAACAAAATGCAGAAAAAAACCACTATCCTAGAGTAAAATGCAAACAGTACAAACCTTCTCACCAGGCTTTTTGTTTGGAGGGGATGAGGGTAAAGTTGTCGTCTGGCAATCTGTTTTGTCCTGGTGGACGCTGTAAAAGAAGCAATAAAAGAATTACCCCCAGTAAACCGTCCTTGTTCCTAGAAACTGTTCCTAGAGTCCAAATCCGTCTTTATTTCCTGTGGAACCGGAATGGAGGATATCTGAAACTCCAAAAACCAAACATAAATGATTTTTAATAGGAGGATATTTAGAGTTCAATGAATCCTTGCTCCTTTTGCTGAACAATGCACAATTACATACGGCCAGCAGCTCACAGCTTGGTTTCCCAGCAGAGGCCTCGAAGATAAATGGCTGAATGATGACTCGGCCCCTTTCACACCGAATGAGGAGCTGCTGACCAAGATTCACTCTGAGAAAATACACTGCTCTGAGAGAAATTAAAAGAACTAAAGCCTTTCTTGTTTGTTTGTCTTAAAGTAATTAGCGATAACTAATCACATACTTCAGCCTTGCAGGTTTTCAGTCATTGAGCAATGATTGCAGTTTCTGAGTTGTGCATGTCGTGATCCTCCTGCTGCATTTTGTCAGGGCGCTCTCTGGCGTCCCCCTCGCCATGCTCACCGGGGTGGAGGGAATTTGTCTGCGTGAAGCCATGAGGCCATCTGCTGATGCGGAGCAAGTGGCATTGCCAGAAAAATGGAAAATAACAAACCTAATCCTGGCTTCTCGCTGTCGCCCCACTTTCTGTGCTCTGGCCAACGTTGAGCTGCTCGGCTGAGCCGCGTCGAGATGCACCCCCTACCAAATCCGGCTGACAACAGTTTGCTTATTGTCTGGACATGTGACCACTCCTCTCATAGCAGCTGTCCATCAGTTTTGGTTTGTTTTTGATGTTTGTTCTGTGGGAACACAAAACCGTCTCCGGCTTTCAGCCATTTAGTTTTTGATTTCAGGCGAAGTCAGAGAAAATAGAGCTGGTCCTTCTTCATTATTCTTCACTTTCCTTGAAGCATCAACACAACTGGCAGCTAAGCAGACCCTCAGCATGACGCCACCACCACCGTGCTTGATAGTTGGCAAACTGTTCTCAGGTTAAAAAGCTTCATACAGATTCTTCCAAACACTTTTCTTGTCACCTCACCTGTAAATAACTCAATATTTGTGCCATCAGATTTGTCCATACGAATCTGATGGACAGCATTGAGAGTTTGATTGAGAACTGGCCTCTTTGCTCTTCATATGTATTCAGCTTTGCTCTGGTTTGCTGTTTCAGTCTCCCTCAGGCCATGATCCCTCTCAGCTGTCGTAACACTCAGTTACACTGACCAACTGTTCTAAGCTTTTCATTTTTCTCCAGCAAATTTAGATTCTGCATGTAGCCTCAGGTTGATCCTGCTTTTCACCAACTTGTGTTTGTGAGCGTACTCTGCTTCGCTGCTCTGGCTTGAGTAAGATTTCTGTAAACCACTGATAGGAACTTTACTGAAAGAGGAACAATCCTGTGTGAACCAAAACTGCAGCAGCCACAGGCACAACCCTGCAGCTTTTGAGAAAATGAAGCTGTTTTTTGTACGTAAGCTTTATTGTTTTAATGTCAGTTTCTATCTGGTGAACATAATGTATGTGTAGATCAAGAAGATACAATAAGCACTATTTATTAAAATACTTTACTTTGTTCTAACATCTTTATTACCTTTTTTTAAATTTTAGATTTAAAAATACCATTATTTGCACAAACCTTACATTTTTACTGATGACATCAGATGCTATGATTCAATATTAATCAGACAATTACTCAGTACTCATGTAGCCTTTTTGCAGAATACTTTTTTTTTTTTAACTTTGACTCCAGTGAAAATATGTTGAAGTAAATACTCATGTTTGGGTGCTTTACCTCATTTTCTGAATATAAAAATACAAACAGAGGTTCCCCTGTTTGAGCTCTTTAGGCATGGAGACGTCACCAGCCACGTCTGAACACTGAACGTGACGTCACCTACAGCCTTACACCTCTTTCCCAATATTCTGCTCTTTCCAAGAGTGGGGACCATTTATCTCGACTGGTGGATAAAACCAGAGTCGGCGGTGGTCGATGTTGGAAGGGGCGGGCGCAAAGGGCTCTGTGGGTCGAGACGTCGCCGCCGAGGGATGAAGAGGATGATGAAGGAGGAGGAGATGGTACAGTAGAGACGAGGGCGGGGTTTTTTTCCTCCTCCGTAGCAGCAGCAGCAGCAGCAGCCGGCGCATGTCCTGTAGACTCTCCCGACAAAACATGAGCTTGCACACAGAGAGAGGAAGGAGGTGATGAGAGGAGCTGCTCCAGCCAGATGATGCCATCTCACCTTCCCCTGTGCAGCCTGTCGATCCTCCTCTGAGACTCTGCAGCCCGTTTCTCTCCCCCTACATTATAGCTGCGCCTCACTGAGCGGCCTGCAGCTGCGAGCTTGCTCTGGATCCATCCCCATCTGCAGCCATGTCAGACTCCGAGGACATGACGGAGTTCGCCAGCATCGTGGAGCGGATCGAGCGGGGAGAGGTGAGACTCATCCCGATGATTTATGGCTCTTCTGACAGCAGCGGTCTGCCTGTCAGCGCCGGGGGCCCGAACTGCAGGCTGTCAGAGGCGGGAAGCCATGCTCACTCACACCCATCCATTTCTATTCTATTCTATTCTATTCTATTCTATTCTATTCTATTCTATTCTATTCTATTCTGTTCTGTTCTGTTCTATTCTATTCTATTCTATTCTGTTCTGTTCTATTCTATTCTATTCTATTCTATTCTATTCTATTCTGTTCTGTTCTGTTCTGTTCTGTTCTGTTCTGTTCTGTTCTGTTCTGTTCTGTTCTGTTCTGTTCTGTTCTATTCTATTCTATTCTATTCTATTCTATTCTGTTCTGTTCTGTTCTATTCTATTCTATTCTGTTCTGTTCTATTCTATTCTATTCTATTCTATTCTATTCTATTCTGTTCTATTTGCTTAAATTAGCTCTTATTATACACACTATATGCATCTGCCTTTCTGTTCTTTTTGAATATGCCGAATTAATTATTATAGCAACTCTGAATTTATAAGCATTTATATAGATTTATAAACTGTACCAGTTTGATCCGATGGAAGCCTTGGCTTTGAGCTGCATCTCTGTTGGGTGGGTTTGCAGTCTGACAGGTCATTGACTTCTGCCAGTATGTGGAAGCAGATACACGTTTCTGACAGAGGTGTTTGCTGGTGTCGGCGCAGAGCGAGCTGCAGCCTTTGCCCACCTCGGACTGACAGGTTGTGTGCCAATGTGTGTTTCCAGTCAGCTCCGAGCTTTATTCACGCGAGCAAAGAGCCGTGACAGAAAAGCAGAGCAGAACTGTGTGGAAGTGAATCACAGTTGACTTTAGTCAACAAGCAATAAACATGACATTTTCTCAAATGTAGTGAAAATACAACGGCATTTTTCACTACATTTGCTTGAAAAGCAAAATACTGACACGTGTTAAACGACACATTGTAGTGTTTGTTGGCATAAATAACTTTAGCAGAATATAATTAACCTTTGCTATTTTTTATACTTTTAAAAAATAACCAGCTGCAATTTAGATAATATGTCAAAAAAAACTTCAAACAAGGCATCAGAGAAGAATTGCCTTTACCAGACTTTTCAGAAACATGAGGACTGAGACAAACGGATAAAATATGAAAAATGGATTCTGGCGCAGCTCAGAATGTGACCAAACCGCACACTCCTCTCACACATTTACATTTGTGATGGTAGAGCAGAAAAGGCATTTTCTGGAATGCTCTCTGAGCAACCAGATGGGATACAAATATCACCTAATGGTCGCCATGAAGACTTGGTTTCCCCTACAACCTTCCCCAAAAAACTGAAGCCACTCTTTGCTGCAGCAGTTTGAGAAACGTTTCCCTTTTCTGAAGTATATCTTGTCAGGATGAAAACAGGATGAAATAGAACAATTTTAGGTCTTTTTCTTTGACAAGAATATCATATTATAAATGCTCTTTACATTTACAAGTTATCAAGTCACTTGCTCTGCCTTTTCCTTTAAAAGGACGTAACTCACCTATTCCAGAGATAACATTGATCTTTGCCTCAAAAAACATTTCTCCCTTTGGTTTGAGCAGCGATCCTTCCTGCAGACCCTCACGGTGTGAGGATGGGCAAAAAACGCTGGATTGCTCATAGTTTTTTGGGGTATTTTTTGCAACATTTTAGAGACTAATTTTTATTCTCTTAATGTCAGACATTCTACTGAGTAAAACTAGCGACCACTGGCCTGATTATTTCAACAGTTTCGAAGGAGATTGGAGTAATCAGGATGTCCCACTGTGAGACAAAACTGGAGCACAGGTAAAGGTAGAGCAGAGGGACTTTACTCAGCCAGCTGGCAGATCTCAATACAAAACCTCTTTTGTGAGGGAGAGAAAACAGATACTGTCTACAGTATTAAAGAATCACTGACCTACTAACACATTTCTGCTGGCTAAGGACAAAGGAAGTAATTCCACTAAGGCTATAGATACTTTCATTGCCCTTTGTGACTTCGTAACTAATCATGTTACACCGCGTCTAAAAGAGACTCAACATTTTTTAGCTTTTCTAAACTGTACTTTGAAAATGCTTAATGTAAAAGCAGCATAGTTAGATCTACATACAGCAGTTGGTTGATAAATTATTTACATGATCTGAAATAATGGCAGTGCAATCAGCGTGGTCCTCTGACCCACAACAAATGTTGAGAAAATTTGATCAGACTGTTTTGTTAAGTGCTAATATAGTTTGGATCTGATCAATAGAAACCCAGCTGGGTGAACAATTTCTTTTCAATCTAATTAAGTGACACTTGATGACACTTCTTCCTTCTATTCTTTCAGTGCTTTTCTTTTTTTATCTTTAGAAAAGATTCAGTTTTTTGGAGACCATCTCAATCATTTTATGACTGAGGCGGTTAAGTTCTCCTTATACAGCAGGGTTAACTCAGGTTATGTGAATTCAAAGCCCCACAGTTTAAATCAGGAGGTTGCCAGTCTCAGTTTCCCTTTGCCAGTAGATAATAGTTATTAGAATCACATCTAAATTATAAAATTTAGATGTGATCAAAATATAGAAATGAAAACAGGCACAAAACACACAACATCACTTGTGGGGTAGGAGTTGACTGGGAGTTGGTAGGGTTTCTGCAAAATGTACTTTTTTTGTTTTTTACCAAAAAAGACCAAAATTGCAAATGGGTGCAAAATGATTTGCTTACAGTTACAACATCTAAGTATGAATGGACAAAATGGTCCAAATGGTCCATGCACAATCTGAGTACAAATTTGCCAAAGGTCAATTGACCAAAGCCAGAAGAGGAATATAGTGGGCCATAGTTTCAATGTTATGGATAAATATAGATGAGTTTTATCAGCATAACAATGGAGGTTTATTCTGTGTGCTCTTAATAACTTATTGGCTGGAGGTGAGTAAAGAGCACGAGTCCAAACACTGAACCCTGTGAAACTCCACAATTCAGTCGTTTGCGCCAAAATACTGAATTTGTCATTTCCCACTTCTGTGTTGGTGTTCCTTACATAACAACAACAACAACAAACAGCATCCATGCTGATTAAGTTTCAGATTAGATGAGGCCTACAAACGGTGTGAGGAATTTTTGTGTGGAAGAAAAATTGATGTGGCTCTCTGAATAATAAAAAAAAAAAAGAGTGTAATTGAGTGGAAACTTGTATTGTGGAAATTCATCAAAGCAACAAAAAGTGCGTTTAATATGTTTTTTTTTTTGTGTGTGTGTGTTTTTTCTCTTCCTGAAGTCAGCAGTAGTCTATCTCAGTTCCCAGGTCCATCCCCTCCCTCCTCCCTCCTGCCTCTCTCATATCCTCCCCCCGGGCTGCACTCGCTGCTGCGGCGGAGGAGCTGCTGATTCACCCGGCGTGGCGTGGCGTGGCGTAGCGTGGCGTGGCGTAGGGCGCCGTCACTCCTTATATTCACGCCGCCGTGGCCGCTTGGCGTCTCCCTCCTCCAGTCGGGGAAAAGTTTGCTGCGGTTCGTCTTTGGACTAACTGATCGGACAAGGCGTTTTGTTTTTAAACCCTCAGACAAGAAAGAGAAACGATATAGAAAAGCAAAACTTTTATTTATTTATTTATTTTTGCCTCATCATGACTGCGGAGATGCGGCGAAGCAGCGGCGCGTTGTCGGTGAGAAAACAATCAGCCTGGTGCTGCGGCTGCAGGCTGCAGGCTGAGTCCTCCATTCATTTCTGTTTCGCCTTTATTGGGTTTTTCTTCCGCCTGCAGGCAGCTTTGTTTGTCTCTCTGTCATCAAACTTCCTTTCTCCTTCTCTGCATTGTTGCTTTGAGGCAGCTGGGTCTGAGCTGAATTAACGATCAGCGGCTGGTCGTCGGACGCCTGGAGTTTTGAAATGACTTTCTGATCCTCATTTCATGTTAAAACGTGAAATGAGGTGTTCGGGATTCTCTATATTTTTAGCCGGGGTTAATCCCTGTTATGTCATCTGGGTGATTTGGTGTAAAAAATAAAATAAAATAAAACAGGCTATGGATAGAATTTCTCCAAAGGCGATACAAGCAGGAAACTTTGCATAAATGTATTTTTTTAATGGGGTATCTGACAATGTTGGGGGTAGAGACAAAAAAAACAAAATTATAATGTCTTAGCAACGGTCTCCTGGAAACCATTTTATTATGACCAACTGTTGCACTCATTTTGTAGTTTTTAAACTATCAGCAGAGCCTCATTTATTGATGGAAATGCATCCAAAACATGTTTTCAGACTTTAAGTTTTGTTGGCTTCTGAATGAACCTGGTGATTACTGCTGTAATGCTATCAGAAACGTAGGAAAACATTGGAAATGGCTGTTCTGGTGGCTTCATTGGGGAGTTTCTTTGTGAGAAATTGAGGTCACTGAGACAATCATGCTGCTGAATACTCCTAAAATTTGCAGAACGTGTCTCGACCTTATTGTTTCATCGGTTTCTTCCATTCAAATTTCTTTTGTTCTCTGCTCTTGGTTGCACTCATTACCCTTAAATGATGAACTTTTCGCTTTGAAACCCCATGTATAAGTGTGTGTTTGGGATTTCAAATGATGTATTAATGAAAACTTAGACTGAGGTGTTTAATTGCCCCCCTACTTGCAGAATCCCCGTTTGTTGCAGTCACGATTGCAAGTTTTTAGTGGCATGTCTCTGCCAGAGTTGGAGCTCAAGATACTGAAATATTATTATTTGTGAAATAGTTGAAGATCAGATTTTCAAGTCTTTCCACAAATACCCAATTGGATTTGACTTTGGACTTTGACTAGACCACAAATGCTCAAGTCCAGCGCTTTTACTTGCCTCCTTTCTAGACTCAAACGACTCATCAGTATCTCTTTACCTCTGCGGAGGCCTGTGAGCATCATGTGAATCCTCACAGGTTTGTAGAAGCAAGAATGCATCTAAAAGGTGCAGGATAGGAGGCCTGGATTTCAGCTCTCATGGCCTTGACCATTGTAGCACATGAATATTCTCTGATCTAAACTATTAATCTGGACATGTGCTAATAGCTGTTGCATTGCTGGAAAGTGAGCCAGTTTGAAGCCTTTAGCAGCCTCTAGGGTTTTATCAATGCCCCTCAAATCTCACCATGTATGAACAGTAATCCCCAGGATGCAACGCTACAACCACCATGTTTCACATCTGTGCTGGTTTTCTGCCACGCTTTAGCCAAAATGTAAACATCTCTGTGTTTACCAGCCATCAAACACATTCTTTCATGTTTGTTTCCCCAACTTGGTTGGGCTTTCTTTATTTTCCAGCCAAATACATTTCAAGCTTCTGTATGTTGGCGACTTGTGTTCAAGATGGCATTCCCAGTGGGAGTGAGCCTGAAGTTTTAAGCATGTTTTATGGTGGAAACGCTGTTGCTAACTGAGTCCTCCGCTGCCAGGTCCCGATCAAGAACATCGAGCGGGAGCTGATCTGCCCCATCTGCAAGGAGCTCTTCACCCACCCGCTCATCCTGCCCTGCCAGCACAGCGTCTGCCACAAGTGCGTCAAAGAGCTGTTGATGCTGAACTATGAGGACTCGTTCGATGCTGGTTCTGAGAGCTCGGTGCCGGGCAGCCCGCGGTCCAGGGTGCCTTCCCCCTCCATGGAGAGGCTGGACAGGCTTGTCAGATCAGGTGAGTTCGGGCGGTAAGAAAAGCAAATTGATTAAATTCTCCTCTGGCTGGAATGAACGTTTTTATTCTTTGTATTGCAGGAATGGGATTTACAGTCGAGGTGATTAGTGTTGGGATCCAGGGTGTTTAGTTATTAATGGGAGCTGCTGTCGGGGAAACGGCTCTTCGACCTGATTAGCAGTTATTTGAGCTGATGGAAATTAATAACCAGACCTTGGGAAAAGATGGGTGTTGGGTCATGTTTAATGGCTTCCACTGACGTCACAATTACTTTTTCCACAGTAGCGTTAACTTCCTGTTATTCTGTTCCTCTTGCAATTTCCTTTTAACTTCAGCTTTTAACTCTGCTTTCAAATCACATGTAGTTCAAAGTCATATTTGCTTTATAATCCTTCTGGATGTATTTACTAATGAGGAGAAAAAGGCAGTGTGAGTATTTTGTGAACCGACATGCAAATTTTTAGCTGATGCAAATGACTGGTTCAGAGTGAAACGGCTTAGTTTGAGCAGCAGGAAGTAGGACAAGTATTGTGCATTTGTGTGTTTAAAGGTGGTGCAGACGCAGCTCTCCCTCCTGCTGTTGTCCCGCATAAACTGGAACAAACTTTAGAAAACGGTTAATTTCAGTCAGCACCTCTTCTAATCTCATTCTTATAGGCCCAAGGGACAGAAAAAGGAATCTGATGGGCTGCAGAGTTAAAGTGCAGAGACAAGATCTGTCTGCTTCCTGATCGTCTCTGTCAGCTGCTTTTAACATGCCTGCTGGGAAATGAATGCCTCTTAATCATTGATATTTTTTAAATTTATTTTGGGAATAAAAGAGTAGGTGTTATTTTCTGTCACCTCCAGTCCTACAGTTGTACAAAATGTATGTTTTTTTTTTAAGTTAAAATTAGGTTGCAGTGAGGTTGACATATATTAATTATTGAGAGTTGGGGATTAGAATGATGGGAATGAGGCCTTTTGAGATGAATGAATGTACTTTGATTTATTCACAGAGGGAAAGTCGCATCGAAATTCACATAAATCTTCCAAATAAAACTGGAACAAAGCACAAAGCTGTTCAGCAATTAAAAGTAGGATTAGGCTACATTAATGAAGGGTATATATATATATTTTTACTTTTTAAATAAAATTAAAGCTATAACCTTACTTTTAAGAAATTCATGACTGATGAAAATTGAAATCTTTCAGGAGTATTAGCAATTTTACCACTTAACTGTATAGTTTTTTTTTTTTTTTTTTGCTTCAAATGAAAGTCGATCAAATTCTCTGGAGAATTTTTCATTGTGGAACTTATTCCTTGTTTCTAGAAATTTACATAGAAATTACCTCTAAGTAGATTCAACAACTGTTTTTTTTTCTTTTTTTTTGTTTTTGTTTTTTGTTTGCTCGTCTCTGACCTGACGACACGATCAGAAACTCAAGAATGTGAATTCTTTTCGATCCGTGAAAGCACCATATTCAAATGCTGAAAGTTAAAGTAGCCACCTTTGGATCTACGACAAAGAGTCTAATCAGACTTGACAGATAAGAAACTGAACTAAAAATTCAGATTAGATGAATCTGTTATGCCTTACTTAAAAAAAAAATGCCCCTGATGACTGTTTCAGATTTGACATGCTGTAGTTATGAACTGGAGATGCCACGTTGCCATAATGTACCATGAGGAACTTGATCCAGAGCAGCAGAAATCCCTGGAGTACAGTGAGGTGAACAGCTTTCATTAAGTTATTCAGCCTCGGCTGAAAAAAGCTCTGTATGCTTTCAAACTCTCATTCAGAGCCTGCTTCAGCTGCCTGAAAGAGCTCATTCTTCACAGACAGGACCGCATCTGTTGATGCAGGAAATGATCAAATCCTTCTTTTAGTAAACAAATGACACAATTTGCTGGTGCAGAAACTAACTTTGCATTTAATATTTGTTCCTTTTTCTTAACTTGGGTTATTTCTGGGTCTTGTGGAATTCCCTTTGTGATTAGTGGTGAATTTGCTCACGTCTTAAACGCATCTAATCTGCAGATTAAGAGGCTCAGGTTCTGTGGGTTTGGGGTGGTTTTTTGCTAAACTTTAAGCACACCACTGCTTCAAACTCACAAATGGGGAAACTTCTTGTTGTTCTGCCCCCAGTCCTCGGAGATCAGATAACGTGTAGCCATAGTGATGCGACCTGCCTGTGAGGAATGAATGAGGGATTAGATGAACGGAGGGAAAAAGACTTAAGCCTATATTTGTCAGTAGGCAGCTTGGACAAGATGTACTGAGAAAGAAGATAATGGTCACAAAAACCTTTTCTTTTTGACTAGAATTTATTTTTTATGATAAAATGCATCTGTTAAGATAACTTGGTTTAAATATCTGGTAGATGTTTTATACAAGAAATAGAACCGGCCAAACTTGAAGGGTCAAAACTCTCGAGTGAACAAATCCAAAAAAGGAACTGGCATTTATTATTTACCAGTGACGAGCGTGATGAATTTAGCTCCATAACTGGTAAGTTTCAGATGTGAAATAACAATGGCTTTATCAGCTGTAGATAATTGGATTAAAAAAAGTTAATGGTTAGGCTTTTTGTTTGTTGGTTAATATCTAAAATCTCTGTTTTGAAGAACTTTCAGTTTCAAAGACCAAAGTTTAAAGGTCTAATATCAGGTTTGCTAAACAAAGACGATGTGAGGGTTTACCTTGGTCTTTCTGGTTGAAGGACAAGAGAAAGCTAAAAAAAAATTTTTTCTTTCTTTTTTTATTATTATTTTTCACAGGAACTGAGCCCCTTCATGCTGCTGAAAACATTTCTTCCAAGATGTTTTGAGACTCGCATTTATTCTGTAGAGAATTGTAATGTAGGAACAGCAAGACACAAGGTTATTTGTCACCGTCCCTGCAGACGGATACTTTCACATTAGGAGTGGCTTTCAGTTTCTACCCCTGAACGTTTACTTAATGACTCCTGAAACCGACTTTTGTAAATCAACACGATGCTCTTCATGTTAACTGGTCATTTGGCTCCAGAGTCTGGATTTCATAACGGAGCTACATAAAGGATTTTGTGACAGAAATTAAATTAGTTCCAAGGAATCTCTGCCCCTGCTTGTGACTAGAACTAGACAACTGGGGTGATTACAATAAACCTTGTAGTGCTTTAGTAGAATATATTGTACTGTCTAAATATTAGCCTCTCGGATAATATTGGTTCACATTGATTTAAGGTGGGTTGACTATGACAAAATATCAAATTCTGTTTTTTTTTTTTTATTTTTAAATGGGTTGTAGGTAAAAATGGTCTAAAGTAAAAGTTTTGTTTTCTTAGTAGACAGCTTTAGTTGATGGTGCACCAGTTATTTATCTATTTTTATTACTATCAGACTCTTCTGACCTGCTTTTTAACTTAAAACGTGTTTGTGGTGCCATTATTTTCATTTTAAGCCCTTAAGCTGAAAGATAACCAATTAGAATTAAGCATTGGTTAAATATACTTTTATTCACCACCTGTTTTTTATTTATTTATTTATTTATTCTTGCCTTTTCCTTAGTTTAAGTTTGCTTTTCCACTGTAATGCTTTTACCAGTTGGATTCACTCGTCACTTGCACATCATGTATCATTTCATTTTTTTCTTGTTGGTCTCATCTCACCTCTCTGTTCATTGCTTGCAGCCGCAGGGCGAAGGTCGTTTGGAAGTCGAGGTAGACGCAGGAGCCGTGTTTTCAGTAGCTATAGTAGTGAGTACAGTGTTGCCATAGAACCCCTCTAAGACCCTAGTTTGGTTGAACCTCCACCTCTACATTTCCAACTTTACCTCTTAACACAACCATACAAACTCCACTCTGTCAGATGGAAATATAAAGGAATATTCATCCAAGAAGATACCAGCTTGATAAGAGGGCTGTTTTATGCTGACATTAAAAATGTTTTAAAGCAGACAGGGGCCCTCTGCCAAAAAGAACACAAAGGACCAAAGTTGGTGCGGAGGTTTCCTGGGAGTTGATCTAAAACTGGAATGTGTGTTCATTGGCTCGACTTCATAAATCCTGCTGGCGAGTAGAACCGATTCAGAGAGAAGGATTAATGTCGTTCTCAATGCTAAAAGATAACGGCGTATGAAGTTGAAAGTATCTTCAAGCTGTCTGAATCTCAAGTACTTTTTGGACAGAAATGTGTTTGCCCTCAAGCTCTTTGTAATCCCAAACCTGACAATCATACAGCAAGTAAATAAAACAACAGCAAAAAATGTTTAGTCTACTGCTAATTATTTTGCACATTTGAGTTTTTAGATGGATCAAACTGATGACTAAGGAAACAGACTCAATATCTACTTCGTTGATGCTCAGATCTTGTTAGGAAATATGTATATATTTACCACTTAATACATCTTGGCTGATTAAACAAGACGCCCCAGAGCATAAATAAAAAAATAAAAATAACATTGAAAATGGGTAACAAAGATGATTTTGGATTTGAAGATAAAAACTGACTTCACAAAATTACTTGGTCAGAGTCCAGTGCCATATATTGCCAAGTGTTGACTCAGCCATCCATATTAATGACCTCAGAATTGCCAATCACTTCCATTCACACAGATCCATAAAATCAGGACCGAGGCAAGCAGACTGCCTCGACAAGCATTTGTGAAAAAATTGGTCACTTTAAAGTCTTTGCAGAAAATTGGTGGCATTTCATGTTACAACGCTGAAGTTTACCAAAGGCAAAAGCTATAAACCTCCAGGGATTGAGTCTTTTTTTCCTTCCATTTACATAAGTGATTATTATTGAATAAGAAACAATTCAATAAACTTTTGTTTTCTTGACTGGGGAGGAAAAAAATCCCTGAGTTTGGTGATTTTCAGACCTGCAGAGTTATTTTAAGCTCTTTCTTCAGCTCTAGAAAATAATTCATTAATGGATATTTTTGCTATTGGTGTATTCTCTCTGCAGTTCATCCACACAGTCTGTCCTGAGTCATCATGCACTCTAAAGACATCCATTTATTGATCAACTTTCCGGAATAGAAATGACCTTGGGGTTTATTAGTTGCTCTAAATAAGGCTTTCATCATCCAATGACATCTATTGCCATAATGTATCTGTAGGAAGGTTTTGATTCATATTTTGCCCATATTCAGAGTTTACTACCTTCTCGTAAGCCATCCCCACACAGTCATCATCTCACCTAGCATGCACATGGCTCCACAAATCAGTTTGCTGCTGCTCTGTCACAGCTTTTTACTTTTCTTCAGCTCCACCTTGTTCCTGCAGAAGTGCTGTTTGAAGTGGCCTCCTTGTGTGTTTGGCTTACCTGAGGAGTGTTTGATTTAATTTCCAGGTCCCAGGAAACGAAGTGGAAATACTGGCTTGCAAACTGAGATAAATCCAGCACTCCTCTCTTCCCCTGTTCCCCAAAAACGTGAAGCAATATTTTGATTTCTGTGTGTTTACTGCCTTACGTTTGCTGGCTTTCAGTGTGGTCATACTGCTCGCCTCTGTGATGTGATCTTGTGAACAGTTTGTGCTGCTGCCTTGTTGTGATGCTGCTGCAGCATTAGTAACAAGATGAGTATTGTGCAAATCTCTTGAAAGCTCTGCTGCTTCAAGAAATGTTTAATGTTGTATTGAACTGGACCTTTAATATCTGTTCATTTGCTTGACATTTATATCTGTAGCATTTTACAACTTGGTCTCAAGGTTATTAATTTATTTTTTTTCCAATGGGAAAACTCATCCAAATCATTGATTGCACTTAAAATTAGCATCACTTGCATTGTAGGTGTTGGATGACTTGGATATAGTTCTGATTAGGTTGCAGTCTTCATCTGATGAATCCTCACTAATGCGCCATTCTTCCCAGATGGTTTCCCCTTCTGTCCTTTTTTCCTCTGGATGACCTCTGCTCCCTGCATTGCCTGTGCTGGTGTTTTGCTCCATGTAGCCATGTTTCTGAGCAGTTGTCATTGTGGAACAAAAGCACGAAGGGAAACATACAGAGGCCCTATTTGTGAAGGCTGCTCTCAAAGGCATTTTGGCCTTTAGATCATAGCTTTTATGTCACCCCCAATAGTGTAATGACCCAGAATCTGGCACAGATGAGGTCTCGGATTCAACAAAGACCCCCATTTGACTCTCATGGAAACTATTCCCTTCTTGTAATTCATTATGTTGAGACTTGCATGTCCAAATAGAGCCTCTAACAAGACTGGAAACATAATTGCCTGAGGGTAGGAATCCAAATGGCATGAACTTTACCTAATGCACGGCTCTTTGCTGTCCTTCAGGTTCAATCTCATCTCCGGGCTGGCGCCGAGGGTCTGTGACTCCCCGGGTCACCGCCATCCCATGCCCTGGCTGCCAGCATGACATCGACCTGGGAGAGCGCGGCATCAGCATGTTGTTCCGTAACTTCACCCTGGAGAGCATCGTCGAGCGTTACAGGCAGGCTGCCCGCGCGGCCGTTGCAATCATGTGTAACGTCTGTAAACCTCCAAGCCAGCAGGAGGCAACGAAGAGCTGCATGGACTGCAAAGCTAGCTACTGCAACGAGTGCTTCAAATTACACCATCCCTGGGGCACCCCCAAAGCCCAGCATGAGTATGTTGGTCCCACCACAAATTTTAGGCCAAAGGTAAACGGCAACACTGCTTGACAGATGTGATTCTCTGAAGGCTGCACATCATTTTTTCTTAACATTTTTTTAGTGTTTGACTGCCTGGTCTTGGATCAGTTTTGGACAAACCTTGTGGTTTTAAAGCCTTTTTTCCTCCAACACTCTTTTAAGTGGTAATGTTAAGAACTGTTTTTAACTTGCAAAAATAATTAAAAAAAAAACTAGTATTGAGCTTTTTTTTTTTTTTTAAAGATTTAGAGAACATGAAAAATACCTTTTGGTGATTTATGTAGTCATTGTCTTTTAAAATTCAGTCTGACATTGGCATCCTGAAATGGTAACTTTGTGAAACATAGTTTAAATGTTGAAAACAGATAAATGCATTGAATGCTAGCGCTTATTGCTAACTGTTAACCTTGCCATTTGGTGCAGCAATTTGTAAATTTTACTGCCTCAGAGAAAATTTATCTGAGGCAAAAATGATTCCTAGACTTTTAGAGAAGCTCAATTTAATCAAGCTGCTCAACTTAAAAACGTTTGACCTCTAGGGGCGATCTTGGCATTTAAAAATGTGGTTTCATCTCTGTATATTTTAGGACTTTTTTAAAATTATTATTTTTCAGAACTTCCTACTACTTAAAGTTCAGCTCCTCTTCCTGTTTCCCTTCAGCTCATTTTTGATGTGTGTTGCTTTAACCTTGCATGCAGTTATCTGCTCTCCAGCCGACTGTTTCATACATTCTTCAGGTCTAATTTTAACTCCTTGTTTAAATGGATGATGTAACTCTATAGTATGCAGCTGTGTGCAGCACTTGTGCCCCGGACGACTTCCTCTGACAATAATAGTGTGATATGTTGAATTTCTCAGGTGCTCATGTGTCCAGAGCATGAGATGGAGAAGGTGAACATGTACTGTGAAGTCTGCAGACGGCCGGTGTGTCATTTGTGCAAACTGGGAGGGTCCCATGCCAACCACAAGGTCACTTCGATGAGCAGTGCTTACAAGATTCTCAAGGTACAGACAGTTTGCTTTCCTGGAAAAAAGATGAGTTGGAATAAACTTAAATTGTTTTTCTGCGTTGTATTTTGGAGTGCTACAAAAAAACTTTCTCCAGATAACAAAGTTTAGTCTGAGTGAGTCAGTGGTGATGTTGTCATGCGCTGAAAAACACTTTGGACTATTGATATTTTTACAGTAAAATTCTATAGGTTCAACATTGTTTATTACAGGGGAATGCATTTGATGCATATGGTCAAATTACAAAACTTGCAGAAGTATATTTAACTTGAGTTTGATTAAGTCTGGTATAGAAAATGTCATTTGGTTCTTGTATTTTATCATCCCATACAATGAATCAACAGGCCACTGGATCTCTTTCTTCTGTTGTAATATTAATGCTTGACCTGCACCTTCTGTGTGCACCAGACTGTCAACGATTCCTCTGTGGAAACTGAAACCCAAGTGGAGAAACATCAGATTTATACCCCAGCATAATTTATTGTTGTCCCTTTTATATTATTTTTCCTACATGTATGCTGTGGTTCCAAAACAATTCTCAAAATGAAACCTTGAACAGAATAATCTTGGTTTAAAATAGTTGTTTAAATCTCTGGTGCTATTCAAAGCATGTTCACTGCAACCATGTGTGCTTGTCTGTGTGGCTGCAAACAATGCATTCTTACATATTTAATGAGGCCATTTGACCCTGATCATTCTGCACACATTGTAACTTCAGAATAGATTGTGTATCGAATGATCTGAAACCTCTGTCAGTGAGTTGTTTTGGGTTTCTGCTGCTTTGAACACTAATGCGTTATGGCACACTCAGGAACTACTTACAGCTGCTGCTGTGAATTGTGGGATGGGAGGTAAATATTGATCTGATCCAAGACTGCACAGATGAGTGTTGGCACAAACAGCATTACACAAATGAGATTTTGAAATGGTTCCATGTTTAAAGCATTAGTAAAAATATACTGGAATGTATGTTGTCCTGTAAGTTGTTTGGAATGAAATGGTCTTTAAATGCTGCTGATCTTTTGTCTCCTTAGGAGAAACTAGCAAAGAGTATCCATTATCTCATCAGTAAAGAAGACCAGGTCAGGACTCAGATTACTGAGCTTGACCGGCTCATCAGTCAGACCGAGGTAAGGGAGAGAGGATGCCGACTCATGCTGCTGTCCCTCCTTCATTCTCTGCTCAGGGTTTTTTTTTCTAACATGCCCTGTCTTTTTATGTAATTAAAGAATACTATAACATAAAAGGTAGTATTTCCCCCCCAAAAAAGGAATTTCTTTGAAATTCATAAATATTGATTCAACCTACCAGTTGGAAATGGTTGGATACTCTTTGAATGAAGATGAAAATGAGGTATAAATGGGAATCTAAAGCTCTGAATTTAATTTCTTTAGACTACCTTTTATTTAAAATGCTCTACCTTTTTCTCTTTGAGGTAGGACTTTAGTATACATGCTCTTTATATGTCTGAGCACAACAAGAACCTTTTGGGATGCTCTTGAGTTTCAAAGCTGTTCTGTGTTGGAGACATCAATGCCGTAGTCTTCAGAATATTTGTTTACAAAAAGGGGTTGCATTTATCAACCTTTCCTTTATCTTTTACAGTTTTTAAATGTATTTTTTATTTCGAGGTTTGAATTTTTGTTTTTTTTTCTTTCTGAAGGAAAACGGACAGCTTGCAGAGCGTCAAGCCAACGAACATTTTGAACGTCTGTTTGAGACTCTTCAAGAAAGAAAATCAGAGATGCTGAAATCCATTGAACAGTCCCGTAACAGACGCATAGACCAACTGAAAGGCCAGGTGCAAAACATTACACCTTCCCCCATATACATTTGGCCAATTAAATGTTAGATTGCATGAAACCAATTGAAGCGTTTTAATGCGCTTAGAAACTCTGGGATTTTATTTGTGTTTGTAGAGTATGTATCTTTTTTTCATGCCTTGCTTCTTTAAAACGTTTGCAGGTGGAGGAGTACCAGGGTATGTTGGAGAACAGCGGCCTGGTTGGCTACGCCCAGGAGGTGCTGAAAGAGACTGATCAGTCCTGCTTTGTCCAGACTGCAAAGCAGCTACATGTCAGGTACACAGCAGAATATTATTGCCAACTGGATCGATTCAGAAACATGATCAATACTCTGGTTGTCAATTCTATGAAGGATCTTCTGCAAAGTGAAAGTGATATTACAGTTGTGTTTAAACAGAGCTTAATGTTACAGTGTAATGCTTAAAACAAGGGAATACATCTACAAAATTTACTAAAACAAAGCAACTTATTTATTTATATTTTTTTCATGTGATACTAACCAAGTGGAGAAGTATGTTTCTAACCTAAAATAAAAATAATGTGAGTGTTTGTAATGACGCAGAAAATTTACAAAAAACAGGTGCGTTAAATAATTTTTATTATTCGCTTACTTTACGGTGACATCACAGACAAACAAGGCAACGGATCAAACTCTGCAACTAATGTGTGGCAACGAGAGTAAATGGCTAATTCACCTTTTCTGTAAAATAGGGTTACATGTATTCTTAATTCTCAGTATAAAGACACTTGACTACCTGAGATCACACATCCTCACATTTCCTCTTGACCTTATCCTCAGAAACTCTCATACACTCACATTAATTACATCTCCTCACATAGACGCACAACTTTTAACAATATACTGATCACTTATTCATACGCTACATTTACTTTCTGACATATGGAAACGCATTACAACTGAAGTCATCTTTGGTTTTCTTTTGGTCAAGATTTAGTCATGTGGAAGAACATTTTGAAATTTGTTATGGCCTCCAAGTCCAGGGGAAAAACTTGCAGATCCAGTGCAATAAAAATGTTTTTAACTGGAATGTCGCAATGTATCAAATTACAATTATGATTCTGGCCAATCATCATTGTGGCCAGACGAATAAACTTTTATACCTGTTCCAGATACAGATTAAAATCGATGGACTGATAGGACCACTGTGATGATTTAAAATGCAAGAAAGTCTGGCTATTTATTTATTTTTTTGTTGGATGTCTTTACTTGTTCTCTTGTTGCTGTTCTTAGTTCGGTGGGTTTATTTTAGCGTTCAGCCTATTACAGTGGTTACGTATGTGACTGTGATGTGTTGGGAACACAGTCACGTGCACAGAAGGGCACTTAAGAAAAGCTTTTTGCTGCAGTGTCCCATCAGCACTGAGTGTTGCTGTATCTTCTGCACTAATCTGCCTAATTAATCTGCTTTAGCAGCTTTGGTTAATCTGGGAAAGTTTTCATTCAGGGGAATTACAGTGGCGAGTTTAGTTTTCTTGTTAAAGCTTTCATTTGGTTTACAGTTGGTCTATATCTGACTGCTTGGATGACCCCAGGCCAAAAAATGTGAATGATCATACCTCATGCAAGATGGTCTCTTCAGTAAATGTTTGTGTTGATTCATTTTAATGTTTGCGAATTATTTTCTTGACTTCTTGCTTGCTTGCTCTTCAGGATTCAAAAAGCCACTGAATCACTAAAGACCTTCCACCCCTCAGCTGACCCTTGCTTTGATGAGTTTGTACTGGACACGTCCAAAGAGGAAACTTTGCTGAAAGAGATGTGCTTCGGTGGAGGTATGGCCACTTTGTCGCATTTTCTATTCAGTCTTTGTCTGCTTGTGAAATGTTTCTGTCACCAAACTTAAATTAAAAATCTGCTTAGAATTTATGAAAATATATATCGATATAAAATTTTTTGTCAATGAACATGCAGCTCATTCTTCCACTGAAACGGCAACTTCAAAAAAGTCAATAAAATATAATGTAGTCTTTTTGTGTTAATTCCCTGTACTCGGCCTTTTGGTTTAATAGTGCTGTTGAAAACATGATGACCAGAACAAGTGGTTTAAAATCTCCTACATGTCACATGCTGCGCTCTGTGAATAGAGCTGGGCAAAGAGGTCAGAGGTTGTCTAGGGTAAGTAAGTTGGGCAACAGATACAATGATGGCAATACGATCTACCATGCTCTGTGCTGGCTGTGAAGAAAGAACATTAATGATGAATATCTTCATTACATGCATATATAGAATGGAAACCATTGACATATTCAAGATGCAATAATTATATATTATGTAAATGGAAAGCTGTATACAATTATCTGTTCAGATGAATGCATTTGAAATATTATTGTACTGGTTTCAGAGGCAGCTGAGGTTAAAACGACCCCCCGCTGACTCTTACGCCAATTGTACATCAGCAATACATTTCCAAAACCATCTAGAAAAGTCCAGAAAAGATTGGCAGCTTTTGTCCAAAGCTCATATTTTATATCTAATTTAGTGGCAGCTGTGTGTGAAGACTTGAAATTCAAGTCTTGACTGTATGTAGAAACTCTCTGCTTAGAGATGGACTAAGTCTAAATCAGCAGTGCTTTTTTTTAGCTGCCTTAATCTTTTCCTGTTTTTGTTTTCATGTATTTTATGTAAAAGTGTTGCCTGAATCAGTCCTAACAGTCTTTAAAGGAAAATTTAACAGATTTAATGGAGCAGATGGGTGGCAGCTGTATCGACGTTACTCTAATCTATTCAGCCTGCAGGCCTTTGCTGCAGTGACTCGCTCTCTTGTGTTCAGAGGGAAAAGATGCTGTGGAAGCTTTCTTGTGCTGCAGTAAATGAGTCCAGGTCTTGGTGGATGATGCGTCAGTAAACACAGGACTGCTGCATATGTGGAAGAGTGTGCCATGCTAGGTGTTTTTATGTCTACACCTTTTTGTTGGGTTTATACAATAGCAATGATTTTAATCAGTGATTTTTACACTTTTTTTAGTTTTTTTCCCCCTCTTCATGGATATTGTTTCCATGTCTTCTGGTTCTGTGTTTTATGATGATTAATCTACTAATAAGAGTCTGTAAAAGACTTGATTCTCACAAAATGTTTGGTCAAGATAATTTCACCAACAAACAAGTCTAATTCTGTAAAATCTGTATGCAATATTAGATTTGTCACAACTGATTACTCATCTGCAAAACAGACAATCCCTCTCGCCTGGTGTTTGGTTTTCAGAATTATACCAAGTTGTTATAAATAAATCCAAAATGAGGTTCTCCTCTTATGCAGCTTTAACTGATTTTTGCAGACAAAATGTGAAATCAAAGCACATAAAGATATAAATGGTGGATTTTTATTGGTGCTTTTATTGTATTGTGCTTTTCAAAAGCTAATTATTTAACTATTTGAAAATGCATAGTGCCTTTTGTAAAGGAGAGCAGGCTGTGAGATGTTTTCCAGACAGACTAGTTGAGTAAATCTGCATTGGTAGATCTTTTTTAAAAAGCAGCCACCAAGGATTTGAAAAGATGTTGATCAAAAACAGAAAATTTTGAATGAGTGAGGACATTGCTCTGTACACTTTTAGAAAGTTAGTGACCTATTAGGTTAGGGATGTGAAGCGTAATGTGCAGAGAGTTTTCCTAAAGTTTGTTTGATCTCTCACGCAGCAGTATGATGAATGTAAAGCTAAAAGACAGCTTTTATGGATTTTATAGCATTAAAGAGCTGTAAATGTTTTTAAAGCGACTGAGGTGGTTGCTGTTTCTCAGGCAATCTTCTTCCTGTAAATGGAGAAACACTTGAAATGTGTGGAGGGAAGGTCAGCTGGGAGTGAAGAGGAGAAGAAAACTGTCAGGTGCACGGGGTGTTTTCTACTTCCAGGCAGCGATTCTGCAAAAACCTTTTAAGCTCCATTAAGCAAAGTCGTCTTATCCTTTCTGCTAAGTGCGAAGTGACGATCCAACCCAGTATGTTTCTAAAATTAGCACAGTTTCATTCTTGTCAATGATGAAGGGCAATGCTTCACATTGCATGACAACTATTTCATCTCTGCTTTGTATGAGACAAATTTCAAGAATATATGTACACATCATGATCTTATTTATTTATCTTTTTACCATTTCATGTGTAGATTTAATTGACTCTTTCTCCTCCCCTCTCCACCAGTCCCAGACCCTCCTCTGATCGATTGGTCCCGCAGCAGAGTTTACAACGAGGCCTCAATCTGCTGGAGGCTCCCTGAGGACCATCTCCCAACAGATCACCATGTTCTAGAGTACCGCAAGTACGTTGCACTATAACCATCAGTCACACCACGCATTACAATTTGAAGAAATCTTAATTCCATCGTCTTGTCTTTCAGACTTGGGGGACAAAGCCGGTCTCCGTCTCCAGGGAATGGAGAGGACAATGGCGTCTGGAGGGCTACAGACAGGGTGTATGGGTCCAGTGCTCTGGTGCACGACCTGGAACCTGACAGTCAGTACGCCTTCAGAGTTCGAAGCTGCAGAAACTCCATGTTCAGCCCGTACAGCCCACAGGTCTCCTTCCACTCTCCACCTGCACCTGGCAAGTTTTTTTTTTTTGTGTTTTTTTTTCCCTGCATGTACGTTTATGTTTTTGAAATGGTTTCATCTTTATCAGAGAATTTATTTTATTTTTTCACAATTTTTTACTTAATATAGTTGAAGTACTGTATGTGTATGCATTCTCTTGATAAATTTGGATTCCAACCTGCTAGGGAGTTATTCTTTTTACTTGGGCATCTTTTACTACCACATTTTTCCTTCTACTCAACTGTCCACTAAAATTTGGTTTCATCACTCTGAATAGCAGCTTCTAACGCTTAAGAAGTGCTGAACAATTGTGATGTCGGCAGTTTTCTTGGTTTAATAACTCCATTTGTCTTGGAAGAGGTTTTTGTTAGCATCAACATTAACAAAAATAAACGCATGTAGTATCGGTAATTGGTCAATTTCACTCTCGTAATTGGAGAAATAAATTCATTTCTTTTTCAAACCACCTTTCCTGCTGCTTGCATCACAATGTGCTTGGCAGTATTGAAAACAAATTCAAAACATTGACAAAAAACATCTGATGAGACAAAATCTTGCAGTAGATGGCTTGAAAATCAACTCGAATTTATGTTTTATTCATGTTTTAATTTAAGTAGCACCTGTACTTCTAAAAAAAAAAAAAAACTATTACAGAGATTAAAAAATGCAAACTAAATAGAAACATTTTTTACTAAAATACCCCAAGCTCAGCCTCTTCAATAGATTGTTGTTGGTGTCAGACGCATTAAAGGGCAGACAGACTCCTGGAGCCACAATCCCCCTTTGTTGGCCTCATTTTGGCCCAAGCAGAAGCAGCTAAGCTCCTTCTCACTGTAGATTCTGGTAGCAACTAGGAGCATTGTGATCATTTACTTTCTCCTAAAAATATGACAGATTAGTTTTGTTTCTAAATATTTAATTGTGTTGGAGTGCCCATAGCGGGAGGCGATGAAGCAGAAGGGCTGTTTGTTGTCTTTATCTTTTATTGAAGTTGGTTATCATGGTGATTTTCTAATCATTTTGATGTAGCTAAAAGCAATGTCGGCCGTGTTTGTGTGGGAGGGAACAGTGTCGAGTCTGACGGCTTGGAAAAGCAAACTGCTGGCACCTTTTTCTTGGCATCGTTTGTACTTGGAAAGAAATTTATCCAAAATCTACTGAAATTCTCGGTCTGGATATAAACTGAACAGATTGGAGCGCTTCCATTAAGTCACCTCAAATATCTTCCCTCTGTTTTGGTCTGTGTATGTTGGGGTTCAGAATTGTATAAAAATGTGTAGATTTATTGTGGATCTTCTCAGACACAAAATCATCTCCCAACATATTTTTGCTGTAATTAAAATATGAAACTTTTTCTAATCACAGCATCATTTAAGTGCATAGGATAGCTTTTATTGTTTAGTCTTTTGAATAGTTCAAATATTTCAATGACTTGCAAACTGTCACCTTTTTTTCATTTTTTTTTTAAGTATTTTTAAAAAAGATCTGATACGTTATTCTTAAAGTGTGAAATGCAGATATGCCTGTTTGAAAAGGTGTGTAAAATATCTTACTGGATCTTTTCTTTCCCTCTCTTAATACATTAAAAATAAAGCATCTGTACCAGACTGCTGCTGACCCAGATTTATTCCTTATTTTACTGGGGATAAATAAAAGTTTAATATTTTCCTTCTAGCATTTACTGCTTAGTTGTTGGCTTGCGGCAGTCCTGCTATTTAAGCTAACCTCAGGACTGTGGCAGAGCTGCCATTTATCCCTCCGCTTCATTCATCTATTGTTGTTTTCATGCCCTAGTTGGTATAAGGACTTCCCAGATGAATGCAAATGGTTTGGTTTTGCCTAAAGAAGACTTCAGGTTGCGGTGGGATGGCTGAGTGAACATGTCGGCTCATGTGTCCTGGATTACTGTAATCATGGCCTTCAGCCCAAAAGCTATTTATAGACTTAATTTAATTGTAACCAGATGATGTATGTAAATCGAGCAAGAGATAAGAGATGGTGATTCTGTTGGTTGCATAAACCTTTTAGATATCTTAAAATGGTGTGATAGCGCCCTCTTGTGGTGGAGTCTACCACTTGCCTTTAAAAAGTCCAACTATTTAAATCCTCAAGATTTCTTCTAAAATTAACAGTTATATTTTGTTTATTCCTCCCACTACCCCTGCTAAATATCTCCTCTCTTTCTTTCCATGTGCAGTTTTTAACTTCCTGTTCAGTGACAAGTGTGGATTCAGTACTGAGCGCCTAATTTTGAACAATCGACGGGATGCTGTGGAGAGCGTGGCGGGTATGGCTTTCCTCCTTTCAGCAGAACGTGTACAAACTGGCAGCTACATCGGTCTGGACTACATCATTGGGGACACGGGCATCTCCCAGGGGAGGTACAGAAAAACTATGCATAAAACAAAATGCTTCATTTGCAACATCAGCATGTTCATTAAGGATTACTTAACTGCTATCGTATCTGTTCACAAAATTGTTGGGGAAGAAAGTGATTAAAGCCTTGTCTTCTCCAGACACTACTGGGCCTTTAAGGTGGAGCCTTACTCCTACATGATTAAAGTTGGTGTGGCTTCTGATACCAAGCTGGCTGAGTGGTTCCACAACCCAAGAGACACAAGCAGTCCAAGGTATGTGCTAAACAGACAAGATCCAGGTAACAAACACAAGAACTTCTACTAAAAGACTAAATCTGCTAACATAATCCTATTAATGCAAGAGAACTGGTGTGAACTCATAAAGAGCTTACTGGCAGACAGAGCCTACCTTTCACATCGGATGCACTCACGTTAAAGCAAAGAAAAACCTTATTTTGACTATTAAAATTTGTGGTAATTGTGATTGAAAATTTTGTGAATTGGAGAACTGGCTTAAGAAAAATAAAATCTGGAAATCATGTGTGAAGAAAAATTTTTCTCTCCTTTTTTTTTTTTTTTTTTGGACAGTTTACTGTCAGGAAGGAGTTGGCCTCTAAATATATTCAGCTGCAATTGGCGTCACCTTAAATGTTTTCATTTCCCAAATAATTTTTATAGTATAGATTATAATAACTTTGTGTCACAAGCTGAGATATTTCAGTCCATCATAATGAAATGCAATCCGAGGCTGTGTAAGGATCTGTTGGGTCAAAAGTTAAGACTCATTCCGTGTTCAGTGTGCAGTGTGACGCTTTCTGTCCAACGCATATTTTTAGCAAAACGCAGACTAGTCTTAGCAGCCATTTATTTAAGATGTACTTTAAATAAATGGTCCTCTGTTTTTAAAAGGCTCATTTGGGATATACTCAACTATATGAAAGAGAGGACCATCCTAAATCTTTTTTCCCCTTTCTCCAGGTATGACCATGACAGCGGACATGACAGTGGCAGTGAGGATGCATGCTACGAGCTCTCCCAGCCCTTCACACTTATCACCCTGGGCATGGGAAAACTCTTTATCCCCAAGGCCTCTTCTTCCTCCTCAGTTTCCAATGCAAATGCATCATCCGGCGACCCAGGTAACCGCGTGCTTCCCATGCCGCAACGCCTGGGAATATGCTTGGACTATGATGCACATCGGGTGTATTTTTACGACGCCGACACCATGAGGTGCCTTTTCGAGAGGCAGGTCGACTGTTCGGGAACGATGTTTCCAGCCTTTGGTCTCATGGGCAGTGGAAAGGTACAGCTGGAGGAGTTTATTGCTGAAAAACTGACCTTCTGAGAAAGAAAAGGAAGATGTTGATACATCAAGACTTTAATAAATTACCTTTTTCTTGGGTATTTTTCTGTGAAAACCTCGGAGGTACGTTGTCCTGTGAGGGTAAAATTCAACCATTTTTCTTAGCAATGGGCCAGTTATCAGCAGGGCTTCCCTCTCTCCCCACTCTGTGAATGAGATGACTGGTCCAGCACGTCCACATGCAGAGGTCTTCAAAGATTGATATGAAAGATCATCTTTGTAAACCAAAGTCTCTGTATCTGTGAATTGTAATTGACCTGCTTTTATTTACCAGCTGAAATCAGCTCTTACTGAAGCGGCTACAGAATAAGTAGTCACTTTAAACATTTTAACCTGAAACAACTTACACTGGAACACTGCTTTATTATTCTAGATCATTTCTTGTTTTTTAAGTGGTTGGTGGTTCTGTGTGAAGGTAGCAGCAAAGGCTTAGATTCTAGAGGATACGAGGGAAGGTTGCTGCTAGTTTTGAAGCTAGCACCTTTGTGCCTTTTTTCCTCCCCTCCCCCTTTTTTTAAAAATAAAACAATCACAGAATTACATGGTTGTTATATCTATCAGTTTACTCTAGTTTATCACTGAAAACACTATTACTGTCAATGTTGGCTGTTTTGCACATGAGTAAATTGATGCACATAATCTCGCTTTCATCACTGCTTAGTTATTTCTTTTGTCGTTATCGATAATTGCGAGCACAGTGGTAAACACATGGATGTCTTGCATTCACATACAACTTGTTGTTGTATTTAATTATGTGACTGTCACTTTTTTTATTGGCACAAAACACTAACTTTAACTTAAGTGTTGTCCAGTTACCAAAATCTGCTGTACTTTATAACTGCGATACCATGAACAGCCTGAAGTCTTTGGCTACGGTGCTTATTCAAGTGCAACACACAGCTTTGTCACCTCACAGCCTTTTAACAGTTTAAAGGAAGCATTTATTCAGGTTTGTCCAAAAAGTGCTATCACAAAATGGTACCTTAATTTTGGTGCACAGCCATTAGGTGTAGCATGTTAACCTCTTAACTGTCATGGAGTAGTTGCTGTTGAATTCTAGGGACACATTTGATGGACTAAAAAGTTTGTTTGGACAACACACTTCAGCTGGTTAACTTTTTTTTTTTTTTTTTTTTTTTTTTTTTTTATGTGCCTGCACATGGGTTGGTTTGTACATCCAAGTGTATATAGTGAGATTTCTGGATGGTTAGGGTAACTGGTTTGTGTGTGTTTTCTCAGGTTTTTAGCCCAGATTTGGGTCTGAAGCTACCTACCTCTGTCACTCTTCCCTGGAAAACCTTAACTGCTGTCCCTTTCCTGAAAGAAACTTCTTGAGTTGATTTATAGCTTCTTTTTTCTTCTTATGTTTCTAATAATTTTGTTTAGGTAAGACATTAAGCTGACATTTTTATTTAATGTGTACATACTAATCTGGAAATTGTTTTCAGTGGAATAAAGTAAATCATAAATGTTTGGGTGTTACTGTAAGGAGATGTTGACGTGTTCAGCTGCATTTTGTCAAGGGATTTTTTTTCTCTCCAATGGAACAAACTACTTCTCTTCCTGTTCAGTGTTCTTTAGACTTAATTTTTAGTGTATTTTTTTTTAATCAATAACTGATATCTCCAATTTCAAAGAGGAATATTCAGATAGTGGCGGTGTGCATATTTTGTCCTACGTGATTTACATCCGTTTTCACTTCAGTCCTCACAGACCTAAAATCATATCCAAATGTACACAATCTCCAAAATCTATGCATTTAATAATTGGCTGAAAGAGTTCAGTTTTAGTCATACACAGAATGTATTGATCACAGAACAAATGGCTGAATGTTCTTCTATATGCAAGATTAGTTAAGAGTTGCAGCACATATGTCATAATGCTTAACAATGTATTAGACCTTAAATAATAATGCATCCTGTATATTGCATTTGTCATAGATTTGATTCTTAATGATTGCACAGATTGGCTCCCTGTTTAAAAACAATGTTGCACTTTAGTGATCTGCAGCACATCTGCTCTGCAGGTGTGTTTAATACTAGTGTTGTGTGTGCAGTAGCATCAGAGGGGCTGTGAGACTGAAGAGTGGACGCCTGAGCCTTTAGTCACAATTTGCACTGTTTGTAGGCTGTTGTTGTAAATGGGCTTCTTAAAGAAGAACATTTTTTAAAATGCTTCTAATCGTGTTTTCTTCTGAGGTTGGATGTGGTGGTGAATTTCTGTGTGCATATATACTACGTAAACATAATTATGGAAAGGATGTTTTTTTCTTTTTCTGTGTAGGGGATAAAGTGAATAAAACATTTTAAATGAAATTTGCCTGCCAATCTGTTTTGTGTGGCTGTGGTTTTATTTAACATTTAATTATAGGGCCAAAGGGGTGAGTGAAGCATCTTTTAGCACATACAAATGGTGTTGGAAACCTCATTTTCTTCCTTTAGATTTTCAACATGACTCTCTGCAGAACACTCTGAGCATACAAATGCTGCCTTGTATTACTTATCTGGAGCATATCAACTCAATTTTTATTTTCATAAAATGTTGGAAGTGTTTTGATGTTTTATTCTGATGCACAATGTCGTCAAAAGGCTTGAGATTTTTGCCTCCGCACAGACTAAATGTCCCCTGGAAATGTTAGCACTACAGACATGTTAAAACTGCTTTAATCTTAATTGTCACATGTACATTGTTCCTGCTGAAAGGGAGCCGATATGGTGCTGGGTAGTTTGCTCCAACACATCGATTGGCATGGACCGGCGCATGCAAAAGTGAGCGCTGTCTGGGGAGCTCCAAAGATTACGGGTAGCAACGTTAAAGGTGAAGGCGAGAGTGTCCTCTTCAATCAGCTTAATGTTCCAGTGACGTTCATGAATATTAATATAACTCTTTTCTAGTCTGCAATCTCCCAGGATGTGGGTGCAAGAGAAAATGCATTTTAAAGATGATCAGATGAATGGGTAAAGGTACAGCACTCTCTGATTGCACCATCATTTTCAACTATAATGTGCTCCATAGAAGCTCGCACACTAAAATTAAAGCTACAGGACTGCCAGAATGCATGTTAGCAAGTCCCCTCATTTTTGGGGTAGTAGTGGGGACAAAACTGGAGTTATTTTTTTAGAATGACTGAGGATAAAACATGATACTGGTTTTCTCTTGAACAAGTACAGATCCTAATTCTATTAAATATAGAATAGCTTCAGAGGGGCTGTGAGACTGAATGCCTGAGCCCCTTCAGTGTCTCCTCACTGAAAAACATAGAGCTGAAAGGAGACATCACCTCACAAAACTCATACATGTTGGCTAAAGAGGAATGGACTAGAAATGTTGACAAATGCAAACATCTCTTTGTGAAGTACAGACATCTGTTTTTAGAAGTGATTATTGTAAAAAGTAAACTATCTTTTGTCCATGCAAGTTTTTTCAAAATGTAATTATATATCCATTTAATTTAAATAGTCAAGTCTGATTTGTGTTAAACATGGCGTAAGTGATGCTCACTAAAGTTTTGTGTCGTACTATTTCATATATAGTTATGCTTTTTCTTTTCATCCATTGAGGATAAATGGATATCTGATGCCATGTGTGAGAAGCAAATTCTCAGCTACCTGCTGCTCATTTTGACTTTATCAAATTCTGACAGGTAATAAAAATTATCTGAAGACTTTTCATATCAACGGGTTAATTCATCTCATTTGCGTGTGTTGTTTCAGATATTATGTCTTTGAATATCTACTTAGTTAAGATATTTGTGTGCTGAAATCACTCGATAACAAACAGTCCTTTTGAACAGATATTCTGCAGTACTGTGACCTGGTAGATGTTTCTCTTTATTTCTTTTAAAGTAATCTGCCAGCAGCAGCATGTTTCATTGAATTGCATTATGAAGTTAATTCGTAAAAAATAAGTTGCAAAATAAAAAATAGGCTTTGTCAGGATAGATGAGTTTTACTAGGATGTACTTTCTCTTGCAAACACCTCCATTGTATGTCTCCTTGTATTTTTATTGTCCTCCCTTCCTCCTTTGTTTACATATTTAAATTTCTCCTTCAGATATGTTAATTTATAATCTATACAGCAGAAGCAAAAACTCAGGGAAGGGAACCGACACGTAAAAATCTGTGAAAATACCTTATACAGTGTGATGTTTATCATTCAGCATGTTGATTATTATGCTGTGATATTTACTACTGCCTTCATTATTGTTGCTCTTAGAGGCCATTAACTCAAACACACACAATGCAAAATAAACTGTTTATTTTTTTTTCCGTCCACCTTTCATTTCCAAACTGTTTTTACAGTGACCCAGAAGAGCCAACAAAATGCTAAATCCACAAAAACAAACAAAAACAATGTTATAATGGAAGCTATGGCAAAACTGCTAGAATATAAAATAAAATAAATACACTATTGAATAGGACCTCACTCGCTGCTGGTTGGGGCCCCTAAGTCTCTGCTCTTATTTCTAACACTGTTCTCTTTGTTATTAATGCAGTATAACAATTCTGTTGTTCAATGTATACACGTCTCACATTATATCCAAGCTCTTTTTTTTTTTTTTTTGCTATTTGTCCTGATTCTACTGAAATATATCTTTTGTATTACAAATACAAAAAGAAATATTTGCATTTCTTTTGTGCAACGTGTAAATGTCAAATTTCAAGCATGTCAGATACAAGAGTTTCTAAGACAAAGACAACTTTATTCATCTGTGGGCATAATTTAATTAATCTATCACCTGCTGAAAATTCATGGAACCGACATCAAATTTCGAAAAGAAGAAAATTCAGGGAGCAGCAGCAGCAGGAGGAAGAGGAGGAAGAGGAGGGAGGAGTCATGGACGTCACTCTGCACAGGCTCGCTGTCAGTGCCTGCAACGCGGAAGAAGGAAAGCGACTCTCCGTCACTGAGGTGTAATTTCGGCGTCACCGCGTCGCAAGGTGCACCCTTTAGTGTCACTCCAATGCCGCTGTAAGACCCCTGACGTCTTCATGCTAGTGCTGCTTCATTTGAAACGCAAAGCGGACAAATATCCCCCCGGTTCTCCTCTGACGGGCCTCGTAAAGACTCGAGCAGGGCGCTGAAGGTAATGTACGTACGATGACGGCCGCTTGTTTGTCCACTACCTGCTGCTAGCTTGAATGACCGCCCGAGCCACCGGGGCTGCCACTGTATTTCCGGACTCTTATGACATTATTCATATCATTTAATTTCGATGCATCGTAAGGGGACACATGAGCGCATTGAGGCAGCGAGCTAGTGTGGGATTTAGGGTCGGCAGGCTTCAAAGCCTTGTTGACGTTGTTGGTTTGACAGTTGTGGCGTCCCGCAGGGCTCCTGCTGCTCCTGGTGCTGCTGCAGCTCCTGCTGCTCCTGGTGCTGCTGCTGCTTCTGCAGCTCCTGCTGCTTCTGCTTCTGCTGCTGCTTCTGCAGCTCCTGCTGGTTTGCTGCTCTTAAATCTCTGCAGCTTATCCATGAAGACTGTTCAACATGGTTGCTAGCTAAGGTTGGTTTCTGTATAGAATGTAAAGCAATCGGATACCTTGAATGGCCTTTTAGTCATTTATTACACTGTAAACACGTTAAGGCCCATCACTAAGATTAACAAGCTGTTAACATTATAGGCCAAGGTTTCACAGCTACTGTAACAGGACATTATTGTTTAAATAGTCAGACCTTTAAAGATGACAGAGTTTATTGTAAGAGCTCGCGATGCTTCTTGTGGTTTGTGGTTCAATAAAGAGGTTAAGCTGAAACATGTTTGTCAGTTCAGTTTCAGAACCTGTTTGAGCAAAGTTATTGTCATTATGTTTTTTTTTGTGCAAAAATTAATACAATGATGCATCAACTGCTGCTGTCAGATTTACATACTAGACTGGTAAACAGATTTTCCAGTATGAACGTTGCCTTTTTTTTTAGATACGTGACAGAAAAATCCTGACACAAATTTAGAGTTTGTTTCCCTCCCAAACACAAACGTTTTTCAGTCAATAAATGCTTATTTTTAGATGCACTTTGGACCCCATATTTTTCATGATAAAAGTTTACTTTTGCTAAGTTAAAGCACTTAAATGAGTTTTTGCTCGATAAAGTCTATACAGGATTGAATGGTTCTGGTCCTCGGCTGTCGGTGTCCCGGATCTTTTAGACATCTGTCTAATAATTAAAATTAGTCCATGATTTCCAGGTTCCACTCAGAACGTGGTGACCTTCAGAGGTAAATCAGCTAATTTTCAACATGCACACATCTAAAATCTCCAGGATAATAAACTCGAAGGCTGGAATTGCCTTCCTTCGAAAATCAGCCGAATCAGCCAGAATTGTAATTGGCAGATCAGGCGTCAAACGAAACAAACAACAAAAGTATTTAAAAATAAGCCTGATTGGTAAATTTTTACTTCTTGGGATTCATGAGCAAATTATTTGTTTTTATTTTTTGTCAAAATCACACTTTGTAGACATATTATGTAATGGAAAGTCTTGCATAAATTATTCTATTTCCATCATTCAGTGAATTGTGAGAAGAGCAGTGTGATGTAAGAGAAGACTGCAGAGTGTATGAACTACAGCATGTGGTTTCTGCTACCCATTAAGAACTTGTTTTATTGGAAACACCCAGTTATTCACACCCAGCACACACACAGACTCACACATCTAGGTATCCATAAAAACTGAGTGAAGCAAATGAATCTCTGTGCACTACCAAGAACATTGGATGAGAAAGCAAGTGGAGCTTATATATGAGACTGTTAAAGTGTTGTGATTAGAAAACGCGAACAGGACAGGAACGTTCAAATACTCCCATCTGAATACGCCTTATTTGTTTAGTACCAGTGACGTGCTCATTTTGGGTGTGGCAATGTGGAATTAAAAAAAAACAAACAAAAAACTTAGAAACCTGCTGATAAGTATTGTAAATTCTGCAAAAAACTATTATTAGTTTTTCTATTTAATTTCTTCTTCTGTGTTGAAGGAGGAAATTATGCAAATGATCAGCAGGTGAACTTGTGTTTACTGTCCAGTTCAGCAGAACTATCAGTAACTGGAAGAAGGAAAGAGGAACTGGTATGAAGCCCCGCTTCTCTAACTCAAATAATCGAACCTTTTGTGCTTTCGCCAAGCAGGGAGGAAGTTTGCTAACTAGTCAGTGCGAACCAAGGTTTCATTCAACTCTTATTTGAATTTGACCTGGGCACACTTCATGTTAAGCAGTTTACACATTTAAGCTGAAATGTTGATGTATTTTATAATGACTTAACTTTTCCACTCCCCTGACGGAGTGGGTTGGTTGGAGTTGGGGGCTGTTGAGCATAAACTGCTTCTTCTTAATGTCGTGCCTCAGCATCTCATTTTTAAACCATCAGAATTGGACGGGCTGATGTTTTTTGGAACATCATCAGTCAAGTGCACTTGACCTCAAGGTCACAAACTGGCCACTTTTTCCCTCAGAATTTTCTGAAAGAGAATAGAGGGTATGATACCATGAACTGCTGCATGTCATCCAGGCCATGAAGCAACCAAGCAATCTTTTCAATCTGATGTCTGTCAGCAACTTTGTCTCTCAGCTGTTGAAGAGTTTCTTTAAAGATCTTCTTTGAGATCTCATTTCCTCCTTAATGTTTTCAGACAGGCTTTATTTCAGTCAAATGATCCAGGGTGTGGCTAGTAAAACCTGAAGCAAAAACTATGGACTATCACTGTTCAGTAAAGACTTTTCACACAGGCTTGGATTAGTCTTGTCATAATTAAATCATTACAAAACAGTGCTTGCCTGTGAGTAAATATTTCGTCATACCAGTTTAGTGGTCACCCAGTATCATTCACCACTAATGGCACAATTTGAATAATCTTCAAGTTAGTGTCCTTTTTCCTCCATCTTTGATAAACTACATGTTAGATGTATTCTGGATATATTTTAGCTCTGGTATAACCGTCTAAAGGATTGTAAGCCTAGGGTCAAAGGTCAATGAGCTAGGGTCAAAGGTCAGTCATTTGATCAAATGCTTGTGGCAGGCATCCCTCTTTATGTGTTGGAGTCGATCCCAGCCGATCTGGGAAGACAGCTGGCTGAGGATGTGTGCATGGAGAGGGCCTGTTGTGTCTTCTCTACTTCCTCTGGCTATAGAACTGATCCATGTGCTTTAGCTACTTTATATGTGTGCATCCATCACATCAACTAACTCATGAAGCAATTATAATGAACTCCGCTCAATGCTGATGATGTAGGGAGTTATATGGACAGCTGTTTGCTGCTCTACTGCTTTCATTTTTTTTTTAAGTTAGTCAGAAAAAAAAAACAAAACAACAACCTTAGTTTGTTGGTGAATGTTGTGCCATAGCTGTTAGCTATAGTTATGGACCCATGCATTCGATGCGTTGTGTAAACATTTTAGAAAAATCAATCGGCGTCACATTTAGAACTTGACTGAATTTACTGTCCAGAAGGTGAGACTCTAATCAGCCACTTCACTGTAGGGTGTTAATGTAATCTTATTACACAGAGACCAAAAAGAAAACACTTCAGTTGCCTCGGACGTTAGAAGGTAGCTTCATCAGTGTTGGCAGGATTGCAGTGTGAATAATCCTCCTTTGTGTAAGAAAACATTTGAAAACACTGGAATTAATTGGCCATACTGAAGTTTGACACCATCTGTGTTTAAAATGTGCAAACAAGAAGACCTGCTGGCTGTAGTTACAGTTTGTACAAGCAGGTTTAATGAATAATGTTTAGTTCTGCTTTCTGGGAGAGATGTGAGAGATAATCGACTTTTCTACTTGTTTGCTCAGTTCAAAACCGCAGTTGATTTATATACCTCTTGTACCTGCAGAGAGGATCTGTGTCAGAATTGGCTCTTTTTGTTTTCATAAAGTACCATGCCGATGCTTAGCAAGCCGTGTGCTAAACTGCAGGTTGAAGAGGTATTCTGTCCAAAGATAGAAATATCTTTGGACAGTGGCTTCTTTGCGTCATTTACATATCAATTAGTATTCACAGAAATACACTTCCTGTCAGTTTATATGCCATAAAAGATAAATGTTTCAGTATTTTGAATTTTTTTTGCATAACCATGAAGCAACTGTGAGAAGAAGGCCTTATCCAGAATCAAAACATTCTTGTATTGAAAATAATTGAAGCTATATTCTAAATTCAGTGCTGAATATATGTTTACATAAACTCTAATCTGTCTCAGAAAGTTTAACCTCAACAACATGCTTTATGTATCATCAGTCCACCCACCAAACCACAGAACAGTTCTGGTCATAATTTAAGAGCCCAACTTTATGAGTGTCTGTAATTTCTGATGATGGATCCTAAACAGAAATTCAATTCCTCCCACCTCATATGCAAATAATGAGGCGGATTAGAGTTTTTATCACCTTGGGGCAGAAGGTTTATGTTTTTTTATGGATAGTTTTCTTTGACTTTATTGTTGATATAATGTCTGTGACACATTTTATGACAGATTGCAATTAAGTTATTGATTAAAAACATTGGACAATTACGTTTTCAAAAAATCTTCTTCCTCCTTTGGCAGTTTTAAAGATCTAGATTTAGCAGGTAGAGATGTTGTAGAAACCGTTTCCAACACTTTCAAAGAAACACGTTTAAGATAATTGTGGACTTGTACAATTCTGGTTAATTTCATGTAAAGGTGGCAGCTTAATCTGTTCAAACAATTAGGTCAAAGTAGAAACCGCATGGAAATGTCCAGCCATCAAATTAGATAGTGAAGAGACAGGTGCTAGGTCCCAGACATGAAAAACGTGCTAATCGACGATGAACACAAACATAGCTTTGAAGCTGCTAAAAGAACCTCGCTTTGAGTGCTGCACTGATATGGGCTGAAAAGGCACTCAGAGGAAGAAACCATTACTTCAAAAGCAACATAAAAGTAATTTCAGTCAATGAATACATTCAAATAGATAACATTGCTATGTTTAAATACTTAAAATATCATCACAAGACATCAGCTTTGAGGTTAAAGCTGCAAATAGATCTTCCAAATAGAAATTATCAGTACTAAAACTGCTGATAAATTGGTTACTGAGGCTTAAAAACAAGCAAATGGATGTTCTGGATTGGCTAGCAAAATAAAATTTGTGGACAGAGTGTAAAAGACGTGTGGGAGCAAGAATGATAATATTCCTCCCCTTATTTTGCCAGAAAATTATTGTCTGTTAAAGTGTCATATTTTTTTGCAGATGTCTCCCTTTTGTTAATTTTTTTTGTGATGCATGTGTGTTTCTCCAGAGTCCCTCACTGCCTCAGCTTCTCCATGGGTGAATCGGGCTCACGCCGTTCCACACTTGTTTCACGCCTGCCAATCTTCCGCCGCAGCGCTAGCAAGCGGCAGGAGTCCCTCCCCTCCTCGCCATCCTCGGGGGGAGTGGGAAACGGCGTTCACACCTCCTCACCCTCCAGCACCAACTCCAGCTCGGGCAGCACCGGCAAACGGCGGAGCCTGTTTCGCACGCCATCTCTCAGTTTCACGGCTAAGAGGAACAGCGATCCACGTGTTCAGCCCATCAACCTGAATCTCACGCCCCCCCTGTCGCAGACCACTGATGCAAACGGAAACAACCAACAGACGGTAACTTTGTCGGCGTCTGCAGGATTCGGCGAGGGTGGCAGGCGTTCCAAGTCGCGCCACTCATTTGGGTTTGGGAGCCACAAGCAAAAGAAAATCCCACGCTCACAGACTGAGGACTTTGACAAGGCCTCCTCATCCTCGTCGGCAGCCAATCGAAATGTGTTCATCAACTGCATCAGCAGCTCCGGAGCCAATGAAGGTGACGACTCGGGGTTCCTCGACGACTTCAGTGGGGCCAGTAATAACAAGAAACGCTCTTCGAGGCAGAAGAAGCAGCTACTGCCAAAATCATTCTCAGCCCATCACCGTTTCTCTCGCACGTCCGACCACCACAGGCCTCCAGAAGTCAATCTGGAACCTCCTAGCTCTGCCACCGTCCCTCCTGGGCCTGAGGGCCTCACTCCTGGGTCATGTCCTGGAGAACTAATGGGAGGAGGGGGTGAGAGCTCGCTTCAGTCCCCCATGATTTCAGAAGATCGAACCACAGCCATCACTCCCTCAGAGTTCATTCCCATAACAGAAGACTCTGTTTCGGAGGTGGACGCACTCCTGGCTCCCAGTCCAGGATCCGGTTTGAACTCAGGGCCTGTCTGTGTGTCAGAGTCGCCTGCTGATGCTGCTGCACCTGATCCCCCAATTGCACCTGAGAACCTCAGCGTGGCAGTCTCCACCTCTCAGGTACTTTTACTCAACAAGCGTTGAACTGAGTCAAATTTCCCTTGTTCAGCGATTCAGTACATTTCACACAATCATTGATTCAGCCTAGCTTATTGGTACTGATCCACAAACATGTAACGTTTAGAGACTGAATCCATTTGTAAACAAACAGATTTAGAAACATTGTAAAAACACACAATCATAAATGTGTGTTTGGAATCCTAGAACAACACCGCGGGGGGTTATGGCTCTCTCTGTTAAGTGTGCATGAGAAAAACCAAAGACTTGAGTTTTTCCTGCTTATTTTCAGAATTTTAATGTCTGCGATTATTCTTTGACGTTTCAAATCTGGCCAAAAAAATGGTATGAATCACCCTTTTTGTTGAAAGGTCTCAGGCTTGGAGAGAAAGAAAACTGAAGAGGCTCTCAGATACAATATGTTATTTCCCGTCATAATCTTCAAAAAGAAAATTCATTTATTGAGTAGGTTCGCACTCTTGTGTGCTCTAAAGTTCACTTTCTGCCCTTTGAGAAGAAAATACTGGATTCTGTATCTCTCTGGATATACTCACAAACTCTTTTCTTCTTTCAAAATGCCTCTTTAAATTTACATTTTATACATTAGAACTACAAACTCGAAAGCATTTTTTCATATAGAGCAACACAATGTGGGGGATAATGTAAAGTTGAAGGAAAACAACAAATCTTCTCTTACCAATAAAAAAATGAAAAATTAAAAATAATTAGTAAAACAGTGTTGTTGCAACATTGCTACAATCACACCTGAAACTCTTTTGATGTTTGTCTCTATTGGCTTTGAATGTCCAGCAACTACTGATGTTTTTGTCCATTCCTCATTTTAAATAATATTGAAATTAGTGACACTGTATCATGTCTGAACATGAAAACCTTCTTGCTACACTTTCATGATTTGAGATTCAGGTCTGGAATTCAATTTTTTATGAATAAGCAAACATACTCTAAATGTTATTGCATTTTGAGCAATACACATTTATTTTCTATTTTGAAAAGGAATTAGATTATTTGTTTATTTGCATCTTCTGATGCATGTCTAGTATAAAAAAGAGCTTAAATGGAAAATCTGCAGAATGTAAATTTTATTTTATTTTATTTGACTAATCATCAGAATAATCAATTAATTAATCAATTACTAAAGTAATTTTAAGTTGCAGCCCTTTGGAAAAACAATGTTTGTTTTTTATATTTATAACCTAAACTTACTGTAAGCTTCAAATCAAAATTCTGGACCAGAAGTTTTTCGGGAAAAGTTCTAGTTTTTTATTCTTCTGTAAGGTACCATAGTGTCAAGTCCCCTCCTAACTCTGAAAAACAGCAAATATTTACGAAGCAGAAGTTTTGCAGACTAAAGTGCTGTTTTCTTCACTATTCACTATTTAAACATAAAGTAACTTTACCTGTGGACATTCTCTAACACTTGCTTAATACTTGCCGTAGCAGGAACATCTGTCTATGTGAAACATCTGTCTATGTGAAGCATATTTTTACACATATTCAATAAAATATCCTCTTCTCAGGTTTTCTTCACCCCAGTCCAGTCCAGTGCTGAGAAACCCTTGCTCCCTGACACCAGCACAGCCAACAACACAGACTATGAAACGGCTGTCTCCCTGTCCGAGCCAGAGACAGCTGTACCCTGCCCACCTCTGCGGGAACAATCACTGGAAGAGAGGAAAGAGAGGGAAGAGGAAAGACAGGAGGCAATGAAAGACGGTTCAGTAGAGGAGACGAAGGAGTTGGTGCAAGAGAGAAAGGCAGGCTACCACACCGAGACCACAAGTGAGAGCGAGGTGTGTGGGGCGCGCAGCGAGGGCTGTCACTCAAACCCCGAGAAAACACATAGGAGGGCGAGACACACTCTCTCTCTTCAAGAAAGAGGAAGCTTCTGCGGCTGCCACGAACCCAGGTCCTCTCATTTGAGGAAACCACATGCAGGTACAAAACTCAGAACAACAGAGGGAATCACAGATTTCCATGCAGAGTCACTGACACGCAGTAGCACTGCCAGAATAATCACTTGGCTTAGAAAAGAGACACAGACTAGACTCATGTCTGGGAATCCATTCCACTGAATCTCACACCTGTCTGACATTCCTTTGTGACGAGGGTTGTTGAATCATTTCCAGGCAACTGCAGAGCTTTGTCTGATGGACAACATTTATGTGGCATTTAAGGTGAAGCAATGGTGATTCTGCTTCAGTCTTCTTCAGTTTTAATTATTCTAAATAATAAAAACAATCAGTTAAACCCTCAGAGAGGTCATTAAAGTTTTTACAAGCTTGTAGGTATTGCAGAGTAAACAATGGAGATTTAAAGTTGTGTTGAAGAATAAATAATTAACACTGGAACATGGAACAATAATTTAGAAGCTCTGTCTTCTGATTTTTCTATATTTTAAAGTTTTGAATAAGATGATTGGGGGAAAAAAAACGTTGCAGCTGCAAAACAGGTTTGACATTCTCAGTTTCTGCCTCAGGCTTTCCCACTGTTCGCTCTTACTGGATGAGAGATAAAAAAAAAAAAAATCTTATCTTCAGCTTATTGTTGCAGTTGCATAGCTCTACAGATTTACTTATTTTAAACCACAGGTTTATAAAAATCCTCACACTTGTATATTTAAGTCTTTGCTTTTTGCTGCAAAATATCCTGGTCAAATTTGGTGATGTTTGCTTTTTTTTTTTTTTTTTAATCAACCAGTTTTTAAACTATTCTCTGAAAATCAGAATTTTAATTTAGTATTTTTTAAAAACCCTATTTTATTCTTTTTTGCTTTTAAAAACCAAAAATAAAAATAATTTTATGAATGCCAGTTGTTATTAAATTAGAAAAATATTCCCTGATTTAGCTGTGAATGGAACTCCAAAGGAAAAAAGAATTAGTTTCTTTTAAACTTATTTAAAATGCAATAATAGAGACATTTGCATGCAAACATTCAAAATGCATTTCTTGTATTAGTAAGGATTTTCTCTTAATTTATTGAGATGTTAACATTATCTGTCCTGTGAAAGGCTTTAGAAACAGGCAAAAAGAAAAGGATATTGTTGACTGCATTAAGCCTGCACATCCACACGTCTTGTTGTGTGCTTGTGCTTCTGTGTTCAATAAACCTTTCAGGCCCCCATTTTTAGCTCCAAATCATCTTGTTTATCAGGCCCTTTTTACCAAATGTTTAACAAAAACAAAATAAAATAAAAAAATTGTCGACAAAAACTATATCGATGTCACAGTCCCATAATTAATTAAAATAAAACAAAAATAACTACATTGTTCCTTTACATAGTCATACCGGATGCCTGTCTCATTTTTTTTGATGAAAACAATTTAAAATGTAAATCTGCCAGGGTTATGAATAATTTTGGGTTTAACTGTTTTTCTTGCAGTTTTAGTTTTGCTGTTCTGAATGCTGAGACTGCACAATAAATGATGTTGTGGATTACAAAAGTTTCCCAAATGACAGAACAACCTGCCATTATCTACTATTGGATCCCTTAACTACAGAGATTTGTGGTATTGATTCAGTATTGCAGGCTTTTTGTTGTTGCTCCCCCATGTGCTGTAAATGTTTATTGTTATAAGAGTCTGAAACTATGGTAAAATGTTCAGGACTTCCTTTTGCTACGGATCTTATCCTATTTTATTGAGTGAGTTTACAACAAAGGAGCTCTTTAAAAACGAGCCCTTTATTACACTCTGCAGAAGCGCAGTATGTATGTGCAGGTGGGTGGAGTGAGAAAGCACAGAAAAAATAGTTGCCATGAAGTCCTGTTTTTTTAATAACCTGTTGCTCTGTAGCAGGTTATTGCCATAGAAGGATATGGTATTGTTTCTCTGTTTTGCTTCTAGTTTTTGATAAATCACTATCGAGCAATTATTGGCACCTTCCTCTTGTTTTTCTGAGATCTGGTGTTCATTCTTCAGTTTTATTGTTACAAAACAATCTCGCTGTGGGGAGTGTGGATAAATGTGATTATTGCAAAACAATAAAGACAGTCTGAGCAAAACCAATATCGCCGAACGACTTCATGAAGGAAGGATTAAACTTTGTTTAAAAAGCTGAGTAAGTAAAAGTGACTTTGTCATTTAGTTTTATGAAAGGAGTTTCATTCTCTGGAGGGATGGATCTTCCCACATTAGAAATTAATAAAAATAATATTGCATCTCAACAGTGTCATCTAATTTCTACATATCTCTCTTTGTGTTTTTTGTTTGCTGTTGTGGTCTTGCCATCCTTTGTGTAGCTTCTGTGTGCAGCGGTGCCAGCCCTTACCACGAGGTGATGCGGATGGAAAGGCGACTGCGCTCCTCATCTGAGGGGGCCGGTGGGCCTCGTGTCCATGGAAACTACAGAGATGCCCCAGGCATGGAGGGAAATGGTCTGCTCAAGCACAGAAACAACTCCTCGTCGTCTAAACTTGGAAGTTTGGTAAGCCTGAAGCTGTTTCTTTCTGTTTAGGTTGCACCATAAGTACAAACACTGACAAACTGTTTCACTGCCCTTAAATTGTAGGTCAGGCTCAGTTATTAATATATGATAGCACTATTTTTTTTAAAATTGTTAATGCAAAACAGCTTAAACCAAATGTAAAATTTTAATAATGCAAAAGGATTAATGAAAACTTTTGGTGTTGCAAGAAACAAAATGTATTATAAGTAAACATTTCTTAATTCTAGTAAGACCTAGCTTGTACATATTTCTATACAAGGTACCTTAATGTTCATAAAATCAAATAAGTGCCTTGCAGTTAAAAGAAAAAATACTGCATAAATAATATAGATTAAAAAAAATTAATGAATAAATTTTTGGATCAATAAATGTAAATATTTATCTGCTTTTCAGTGAAACTTCCGCATCTGTTCTTATACATCAGCAAGATGTGGATAAGTTGGCATGTTTAACTTAGTTTGTCATTACTTTTCAAAGTGGAAACTGTCAAAGGTTTAATTGTTGCATTTGGCTCTCCCATGTGCAGCTTGTGAACCCGGTTCTTCGCTGTTTTGGTGTGAGCTCAATGTGAACAACTGGCTGACCATAAATTATGGATATGAAATTTGCAGAAATTTGATCACAGACTGAATGTGATTAAACCTTTTGTTTTCAAAACTCAAAATTTTTCATGACTTTTTCTGGTGTCAATACTGATGATGGTAAATGTACTCTAAAGTGATGGTTTTAAAGTCTGCTCAGCCACTTTGGCCTGCTCTTCGATTTACTGCTCAAGGTGTTGTGTCACAGTCAATAAACAGATGGACACTTTAGTGATAATGAGGTCGCTTATGCATTGAAATGACCTTACAGCAATGTATGGTGCTGAGAAAAAAATAGGAACATACTATATTTTTCTTCACACGTGAGTGGCTTTGAGTTTGTGGTTTCACATGTGCCACATAGTGATCCAATCAAACCTGGTACAATTCAATAGACTCGTTATTGGACTGATGGCTGATATCTGCATTTTACTGTGTTATTTTGTGTTTTATAACAATGTGTTATTTTTAAGTGTATGTTTTAGGAAATGTGTACAAAACGTAATAATACCAAATTTGACTGAGTGTCACTCTTTTGTTCCTTTCACCCATTGTCTCTAAAATTGTTAGTACATTTGAAAGTCTTCCCTAAAAGTTTTTAGGGAAGATATACAAATGAACTCACAGGTATTTAATCTCCAAACAATTATTCTGCAACTTCAGCTGAGACACCATCTGCTTTTATCCAAATATACATTTCTTAAGGATTTTTCATAACAAAAATTTGCATGTGCTTCCAAATTTATTCTCGCAGCCACACAATGAGCTGCAGTCCTAAAGAGTTTCAAATGAGTGGTGGCAATTTTACTGTAATTATAGCCAGCTGCTAGAATACTCTGGTAAAATAATAATATATCCCCTCTAATACACTTGCTGATTTGAGTCAGTGCTTGCGGCCCTGACCATGAAAATATGAAAGGCGTCACTTGAATTTAGAGTACACTCGTCTTTCCTTTTTGCCTCTCTATCACACAAAAACAAAACATTTTGAAGGACAAAGAGGAAATGGTTGACATTTAACTAAAATCCAACAACATGACACCTTCATGGACCAGGCGCTTCTATTAATGCAACGTTAATTAACTAAATTGATTTTTAGACAGCAACCAGAAATGTTGTAAAAGTAAGCAAAAGGCTGTTCTTGACTTCATCCAATTTAAGGGAAATGTTAGAAGTTTAAATTGAGTGTGAATGTGTGAAGTACTTAGAAAAACTTCTCGAGTCATCTAACAGGCTTAAGCCTGGTGTTTTGTCTGCCTGCTCACATTGCAGCAGTCTTTGTTGGTGCAAGATTTAGCAACATCCATTTTTGTTTTTTGCCAATAGGTTTTAGCTGTGACTGGGCTGCTTTTCCCACAACATGCGCAGGAAAGCTCCATAGGAGGCAAACCAGTTTAAATCAATCCCATTTATTCTACCGGAGACTAAAAGCTTCCTCTGGGAGATTACACAGAGCAGGGATGTACGCTGCACATTACAGTGTATATTATAGACTGCTGCTGCCTCTCCACTTCCACTTTGCTAAATATTGTATAATCTCTTTCTCACCTCCCTGCTTATGAAGTGCCCTTCTGGGCCTGAGTAATGGAGGAAAGGTAGAATCCCAGCAGTGTATATTAAACTATATCCTATCTCCCTTTGCTTCGTAAAATTTTATTGGTCAGTTTTATGCGCTTGTAGCTAATGAAAACCTCAGGATTTAGACACATTTATCTTAACCTTGGCCGAGTGTTTTTCTAGTGTTATACAATGAAGGTATGCAAGCAATAACATGTAATGAAAACAATGCCCTCCACACTTATTAGCACTTTTACTTAAAATGTAAATAGCCTCAGAATAAACCGCTCTTTCTACTGAGGTAGCAAAATGTCACAGCGAGTCACTGAGGAAAGTACAAAATTTAATGTTTATTTAAAAAATTTAATACCAGCTTGTTCATAAGTCTCATTATATGGAAACATTAATTAGAAACATTAATGGGAAAGACAAGAGAGCATGTCGTTCATGTAAGGCAGTTAGGTGTCGAGTCGAACAGTGAATCATAAATACTGTAGCTATAAAAAAAAACTATTTTCCAACTTTGTAATTTTCTACATTCAAAGCAACAATTTAAAAGTTTAAAATAGCTTGTACAGGCTTTATTTTCATATTCCATATTCCCTTTTATGATGAAATCATCTTTTTGCTAGATTTGGTATTTGTGCTTTAATATTTGTGAGAGCTAGAGCTGCCCAATGTATCCAATATCAACAGTGACCTCAATATCGGCCTGTGCAACACTGCCGTTGCAAAGAACTGTTTGCATGTGGTAGGATAATGAACTGATATATAATACGTGTTATATATCAACGCTCTGCATTTCTATAATGTATTTGGTCACTTGAAAGGACTTTGGCAGCCTTTAAAACCTGTACCTCTGCTATATTTCTGGTTGTGGAGACGCTTAAGCTTATGGAGAGGATGGGACGTCATGCCAAGGCAAAGAAATGGTTCATCTTAATCAATATTGTCATTGCAATTTTTACCCAATAGTATGGATACAACTTATTTTCCTGCTACTATGTGGCTCTAGAGTAAACTAAGAAAGGAGTCAAGATTTGGGCTGCAATGATAAATGGCCAATTTATTTACTTCTGTGACGAGAAGCAGTGCCATTGATCTCATTCTGCCTGTTATTGATTTAAAAAAAAAATAATTTCAAAAGGTGTGAAACATTTATGTTCCCAGAATTTTCAGTGGTGGGTTCTCATAAGTCCATCAGTGACAGTGGAGATAATACTTTGACAGGCTGGTGGTGATTACACTCAGAACTCACTCACAAAGGAAGTATTACATGAAATATTCTCCTCTATCAGAGACAGCCAGAACAAACACTTTTGTTGGAAGCTCGAATGATGCACAGAATATGACAAAACAGCTCAACAACATTTCTTTTCTCCCTTCCTGTTTTTTTTAATGTGCATTTAAATAGTAGCATAATACCCTGCTTGCTAGACATTGTCCTAATTTAACATTCCTTTTATTTCCATGCTCTCCAGTTTGTTTAGAGTGCATAGAGGGAAATTATTATAAGTGACTCTTGAATTAATCATACAAAAGACAAGGATACTTTATCGTTGGAACAGAAAGTAGTAGCTACCGGCAGATGGTAGAAAAACAACATTGTAGCTAATATTTATCCCTATTACTTTGTCTAAATATCTCTAATAAAAAGCATGTGTTTATTAGAGATATTTATAATTATCAAAAATTGTTAAAGGGTTGTAACTTGCAAAATCTTGTCATGTTCAGTAAAAAAACACCAAAATTTTAGCACAAGTTTTCTACATGAAAACATGTTGCATACAAGAATGACAAAAACGTTTTTGAGCAGATTTTTTCATCCAGTGCGATCTTACCAGCTTGTCTAGTACAATTGACATTTAATGCTCAATAGTTGGAGTACTCTTCAGTCTCAAGTTGTTTGGCCAAACTCAAAAACTGTATTTTATTTTATATTTTTTTGTTGGGAATGCAACAGCAACACACAGGTAAAGTGCTCTCCTGATGCCAAAAGCCATTTTATAAAGTGGAAGAAAAAGGAGGAAAATAAAAGAAGTCCATAGAACATCACCGAACAGAATGTGACAATTTCTCTGTGCTAGGATTTTGTCAACAAATGTGATCTTTAAATCAAAGAAAAGATTCATAATAATTATAAATATAAATTAAAGTCACTTATTAACTTCTGAAGTAGCAGATAATATAATTGTACTGGTACTGCGGATGAAAAGCCAATGAGACCATGACTTCAAAGTCTATGATTACACAACTTCTCTGCAAAATGTTTAATCTGGCAGTGAACAGCTTTAGTGGAGGCATCTGAAGCAGAAAATCCCCAAAAATCAGTAAGAAAATGAGCTGACTCTGTGAATTTGAAGTGCACATGTTTGGGACTTTTCAGTTTGGTCAAACTTTGGTAGATGAAAGGAAAAGTGTCTTTATTGGTTTAGTTATAAGTCTTCAAAGCATGAGGGATATATGTTCACCATATATTGGAGAGGTTTTTTTCTGGGAAATGGGTTTCAGCTATCACTTCTTCTAGCAGAAGAAAGCTTTTATTTGAAACCAAAACGCAGTCATAACTTATTTCAGTACATTTTCTAGGGACTTTTCTTAGTGTCCAATATTTGTCATTTCTCTTTCCTTTTTTCAGTGCTTATTTATTTGGTTAGTTACATCATCTGTGGACAAAAATCAAACTTTAATGCCCCTATCAGCTTTTATAGGTTATGTATAGTCAAGTAAAAGCTAAATAGCAAACATGCTCACTAAAAACTCAAGAACTCCAAGGATAACTCAACAGCAGCGAATATTATACATTATACCTATTGTTGCTATGACTAATGCAACATGAAACAGTCTCAGTTTGCAGTATGCTGTTTATCCTGTGAAGGGAGAATGTGTATAAAATTATCATTTGTGAAGGAATTCAGATATATTTAGTTTGCTTTAGCCTTCTCTCTGGCAGCCACTTTTAATAGCTAACTCAGCACTTAGGACACTAATCCTTTAAGATTAAGGTTTGTTCTCAACAGAGCAAACCAACTATTTAACCGGCAACATTTCGTATTAGTTGCAGGTTGGCCTTGATTTTGCAATGAGTAATGACTCCATATTGATGCACTGACAAATGACAAATGCCAGATGATAAACTGCGAAATTGCGTGAGGGAACTTCTCTGTCATCTGGGTTTTATTCAACAAATGGATTTCCAATTTGACTGGACGTTCAATCCTCCGTGCCCTCAGGCAGACTGTAAACACAAGTGGCTGGGAAGTGCCTTCTCAGGCAGGTTGAAGCCATTTGTTAGTTGGTATATTTTTCCATTGCTGGAGGCTGTAATACCTGCCTGAAAAGCAAAATCGCTCTCACTTCATCTCAACGCTTCTGCCACCCAAAGCACTGAAAACATGTAATTTTCTTTGATTTAGGCTGAGTGCGAATGGAACGCAGTGTCTTTTAATGGAGCGAGAGAAACGAATTCTTCCTCTGATCTCTGTTTTGGGTGTCATTTTGCTTGGCAGTTAGGAGAAGGAACCATCTTTTAATGAGACCTGAATCTAATATTATCTCTATTAACTCAAGGATTATACTCAATCAAATCACAAATGTGAGGTAAAAACGTGACATTGCTGGCTTGTAGGATCATATTTCTCTGGAGAGAGAGGTGCATTAAAAAGGGCAATTTAGCTTCAAATGCAATCTGTGCTGTAGTATTAAACAGGCTCTTCATTTCTTTTCCAATACAGTTTTAGCTTTTTTGCTGTAAAATCTGAAATGAAGTCTCCTACTTTTTTTTCCTCTCCTATTTTCTGTAATGATCTTCCAATTGGGAAAAGCAGCAGTGTGATATTATATGTTCATCATACACAGCCTGTACTGAGTTCATATTGCTTCTGATAATAATTCTGCTGAGGTATGGCTGAATGGTCACGACTGTCCCTGGCTGCTGCTTTCAAGAGGTGGGAGATCAGTGTAGAGATTGGGCTGCATGTTGCTCATATTTATATACCACTGATCTGTGAATCGATTTTTCCGATCCAGGTACAGATATGTTTATAAATGTGGGTTATTGCACAACAAGAAGAGCAATGAAATGTTTTAATTGTCAAAATAATGATACAAATCTTTAATAAAATATGCATGATTCTACTGTGTATTTTATTATTGCGCAAGGGAAATTTAATAATGAAGGTGAAAGTCCAATGAGGGTAATTAAACCATAGAAAAGATGAAACTGCATCTTATTTTTCTTATTCATCATAGTTATTAGTTATTAATTTGGTTTAGGGGCATCTAAATCAACAGGCATTATGAGGTACTTAATTTGGTTTCAGAAATAATATTCAGATATATTTTGGATCATCGATTTCTTCTAAAGTTTTTTTGGGGGGGGCAAATGTCCTTTACATGACCATTAGGGGGCAGCATTGATCTTTGGAATGAATATAACAAAATTAACAATATCTTTCTACATTACTATAATGCTAAGATTATTACATTTCTTTATTAAAAATATTATATGTGTGTCATCAAGTGATGTAGCATTTAAATTTTGGATTTGACTTTGACATACCAGGATGGAGGCAATATCACAATGCAGCCTTTCCCTCAACAATCCTCAGGCTACTGATCATTTCTGAGGATTCAAGAAAATCACACTTAGATCTTTTTGAAGAGGCATAGGCTGGGTATTAGTTTGTAATCCAGGAAAGGCTATAGAAACATGTCTTTCTCAGTTATCTTTTTTAATTGATTCTGATTTAGTTCAAATCTGTTAAGGAAAATAGAATTACACAGATCAGAGTTTTAATTTAGTCATCAACCATGTTGTCAACATATTCATAATTTTTTTTCCGAAGAGCACGTTTTTAGAGCTTGCAAGCATGATAAAACCAAAACTGGGAGTCCATCTTTGGAAGTTACATGAGCGCGATGCTGTATCTCGTCATGGGAATTAAAAACTGCCGATTAGCAGAGTTTATCTAGTTTGCTCAGCAGCTAGTTTTTGCTCGTCGAGCAAATAGAAAGCTGACAGATGTTACACAAAACTACAGGCTCATTTGTCATATTCATTGCTTTCTCAAACAAAACAGTTATCATACCAAGATAATAGGACTCACAATATGTTTATGAGGTTCCTAAGCAATGAAGAAGGAATAAATATCTCAGTGGGTGAAGGCGAGGAGCGAAAAATCTAATATCATAATAAAATGAGCTGCATTGTTTGATAGTTTGATGTCATGCAATATTGTGAAAATTAGTTTTGTTTTTTGCCAGCCAAAAACAAAACTTGCACATTGCAGATTCTGCTGGAAAGATAAAAAGTATAAACTATTGGAAATGCAGAAGAACTAGTTTAGTTATTTAGTTCAAGAAAATAAAATGACGTCTGATGTATGTGATTTTCCTTTTGCTCAACAGGATGTGCTGAACAACCTGGGCTCCTCAGAACTGGATGAAGATGACCTCATGTTAGACCTGGACCTCTCAGACGATCAGCGACATCGACATGGTAATGTCTTCCCTGCTACCTTCATGTAGCTACATATTCTGTGAAAAGCAGCAAAACTCCCACAACAGAATTCAGAGATCAGTTTTCATTCTCTTGCTTTTATTTATATTTTCCACATTTTCTCATGTTTTATCTACCCAGATTTTCTTGGTCCATCTGCCTTGATTCACCTCCTGTTTGCACTTGTGTTTTCTCCATCACTATTTTTTTATTAGACTGTATCTATTCCATCACTTCAGAACATGACACCAGTATTTTTATTCCAACCAACATGCACCAACAACTTTGATCCAGCCAGCTCATTTGCAGCAATTTTTCTCCTTTGTTGTTTTGGCATTTCAGTCAGACCAATATGTTTTGTGGTTGAAAACTAACTGTTAGAGTTATTTATCCTGCCGTACCTCGATGTGGCAAGGACTGCCAAACTATAACTTCATATATAAAAAAATTATTATATTGAATAAGTGCAGTGAGTTGCTATGGCCATACCAGATCATAATGTGTGGAGTAACTTAAATATCTCATTCATCAGATGTGGGGAAGTTAAATGATTCCCTTTCTGAAAGCATTAGTGTTAATTACAGAAACACAACAGTAAATGGGCCATTTAGCAAGCTATTGTAAGCACAGTCATAACTGATTATGTAACTGATTATCACCTGCAAATGTTTGCTTCATGAAAACATTTTTCATTCTCTCCGTTGACTAAATTTAGGCTTGGGGTTACTCTCCCTTGTTTGTTTTTAAAGTTACCGAGAAGTTGCACAACTGATGTCTGTGTTGAAAACATTCTTCAGAGATGTTGGCTGATAAGAGTCCCCATTTCTGCAGGCTGTCAGTTGCACATCCATGATGCAAAACTTGTTCTGCCACGTCTTGCTCTTTTGGACTCATACCTCGTGACAAAGGAGCCCAGTGTTACCAGTTTCAGTTGATTGAGGCTTTTTGACATCTTCCTCCAGGAGGTAGCCATCAGAAGATGGATTCACTGTCGTCATAAAAGTACAGATATGAGTAGCATTAAGATCCCTGTGGTGTTTGTATGATGTTCGATAAGTGCTCAGTGTCCCAAAAAGGACCAAGAAAATCTAAACAAATATTTCCAGTCTTACTGTTTTATCAGTTTATTTTTTTAAATAAAAAATGTCTACTGTCACTTTTTTCTTAGATCGTGCATTGATATATTTTGTTATATTTTATCATTGTATTTTCTCACCTGTTTTTTTCTTTGTCCTTTATTTGCAATAAAATAAAATGAAGTAAAATAAAATATCTCAGTAAATAAAAATAAAAAAATTAAATAAATGCATGGTATGAAAAAAATTAGAACAAAAATAAATTATGAAATAAAAAAGGAAACTGATAAATGAATAAAAAGATTGGAAATTGAACTGAAAATTCAAAGTGGTAGTAAAAATGTTAAATTATTTGTTTTGAAAAATAAAAAAAATATATGACTTTATGTTACACTTTATAATCCAATAAGTTGGAAAAATTATTATATTTTGGATGAAATATACATGAATTGCTTTGTCAAGCCGTTTATGCATTCTTATGCTTTACCTATGTCAGGATCCGTCCTCCATTGTTTTCACCATCTTTAGATAATTTAATGATTTGTCTGACAGCCTGATTCACAAATGGTGTTTATACACAATTGGACACAGTTGCACCTTATGAAGTGGCAGGTGAGCGCATGTCACAATTTGACGAACGCTAATTTGCTGTAATGTCGCTGAATGTTGATTGTGTGAGTCTTGTGATGTCATCGACCCAAATGCACACAAAGCAGAGTTCCAAAATCTTTGAATGTTTGCAAAACTTTGTTAAAATTAAGATTAAAACGGAAACCTCAGCTCTATTAAACCAGATTGAGATGCTTCCCTGAGTGTTTTCAGAGGCAGGCTGGGTTTGGGCTGAAACCCCAGTGCACTCACACCAAATACGCACACACACAAATAATGAAGGCGTCTCTACAGGCACTGGCTGATGCAGAGTTAAAGGAGGCACCGTCATTAATACATACTAGCGCACAAGCGTGGATGCTTAGTCATTAGACCTAATGGTTTGCAGACTGTAGCATGAAATTAAAGGTTTGATGAATTGTTCTCATAAAATCAAGGGACTAAGATTTTGTGCTTGCTATAAAAGAGTAGGGTTCTTCTACATAATCAAAGTGAATCATTTAAGGACACACACTCAAACGCACACCGCTTTCAGACAGTGGTCTACACCGTCTCAAACACTCATATAAACACACACCGTCGCACATGAATACACACCTGTCCCACAGGGCCACACACACACACCTACACAGTCTTATTGGTGCTTCACATTTTTACCTCTCTCATGTGGCCTGTTGAGGGGCTTTATTAAAAAGAAAGCTGTTTCACTGCAATTTATGGCCAACTGAGTTCAGCAGCTATGGACGGACAGATGGACCTCTGCAAAGACCGGAAGAAATGCAAACTCTTGTGCTTTTGCCCTACTTTACTCTTTTCTTCCTCGCACCCATCTGAACAATAGACCAATGGATCTGTTAAGCACTGCATGTCATTAGAAATCTGTGAATCTTTCTTACTCATACATTCTCCAGCTTTTTGTTTTCTTCACTAATAAATAGTGAAGATGAAAAATGCAATGTGTATGTTTATGTTGATAGTGTCCAGAGAAGACTCGAGCCAGTCCCTAACATCCTGCCTCAACCTGCTTCCTTCTCTCTTGGATCCACCCGGAGATCGCTTGGCAGGGAAAGAAAACGTTCAGAGGTAAATTTGTATTTTGGGATTAAATACATCCGGCTGCTTTGACTATTTCTTACAAAATAGCAAAAAATACAAAAGTACCATGTGTTAGACTTTGAAAGTTTTAAAAGTGCAACTAATTTGAGCAGAGATGTCTTGCATTTTGAGACAGCAAGTGCAGTAGTTGCAAAAAAAAAATGTGTCTTTGATGTGTTTTTAATAAACAACTTGAACTGAACAGAAAATAAAAATGAGTAGGCCTTTGATATTATAAGTAATCCTAGGAATGTTTTTATTTATTATTTTACTCACTAAAAAATTCAGTGCTGTGCCTTATTTCTTAAAGTATGTTTACCCTTTTAACATTTTCACCTATTATCTGAATGCTTGATTGTGAAATGGGAAGAAAACTACCTCTTTACTGCAATTAAAGGAGTTTATTCCGCCGTTTCCTTCTCTCCATATATTGATATAATCACCATACAGTTTTGCGTCATCTAACAATAAAGGTCTGAACAGTATTTCAAATATATCTTCATCGCAATATCAGTGTATGCAATATTCACGTTTCAAAGGGCTGTTTGGAGAGCAAAAATTGTTGGCTATTATATTCCAAGTGTTGAGCTTACAATTTTGATGCTAATGTAATATTTAGCCAATGGGACAGAGCCTGTAGGCAGCAGATGCTCACACTGCATTCAAACATTGCCCAAAATGCTAAAGGTCACTGAGTTATGGAAGCACAGATAAAAAAGAGACAAGGAATAGGCATATTTTACATCTTCCTATCAGCTCTGGCAGGCTTCCCTGAAGTCTTTCTGAAGAAAAGCATCCCCACTAGCGCCACTATGTTTCATGGTGTGTTCAGGGCCTTAGTGTTCCACTACACATTGCGTTATACATACAGGCCAAAAAGGTAGCCTTTTGGTCTTATCTGTCTAGAGCACCCTCTTCACATGTTGGAAGTGGCTTGTTGAAAACTGCAAAGGGGAATTCTCTTGGCTGGATGGCCAGCCAGGTCTGTGTAGGTTTGCCATACTTATTTTCAGAATATGGATTGAACAGTTCTCTGTGAGATGTTCAAAACTTGGGATAGTATTTCAAAATCTATCTCTGCTTTAAGATTCTCTACAACTTAATTTCTGACCCGTCAGGATGTTTTTTGGTCTTCTTTTGTACTCTGTTTGTTCTCTAATATTCTCTAGCAAACCTCTGAGGCCTGAGATTAAATTACCCACAGATGCACTGAGTTCCCCAATTAAGTGAATTCTTCTATTTTTATGCAAACTGCATAAAATGTGAAAAGTTGTGCAAATACCCATCTCCTCAGCCCACAAACATACACACTACCAGAATATAAAGGGAACCAGATGTTCGAATCAAATGTTGTGATTTATGATCTTTTTTTCTCAATCTTAATGACCGTGTCAGTGGTAAAATCAGAAGTAATAAACTAAGTATTATTTTCCATCTCTCTTTTCCATTTGCAACCATCTTTCTCTGGTTAGTTTGCTGTGATTTACAGGCACCATTTGTATATTTGAAAGAGCTTCTGTTATTTGTCCGAGTGCTATTTTTATTAGCATCAATCGACTGAATGTACAGGATTTAGATGCAGAGCAACAGCGACTCTGGATTGCTCCGCTCATTTTGTCTCCAAAGCAAAATGTACCAAGAGAAGGGACAAAATGGAGGAGACAATTAATCAACTTGGCATCAAGTGGGGCCTTTGCTAACACGATTCAAAAAGGTTAAATAGTGAAATAATCAGAAACAGAATTACGATGTTGCTTCACAATTTGTGCATAACAAATAATTGCAGAGTAAACCATGGATTATAATAGCTCTGATCGTGCCATCTGTTACTGAAATGTATTATGTTCATGGCATAACAGAACAATAGCCACTGACACAGAAAGACGGGCCATGATCTTGTGTTGGCTGACAATACACAGCAGCATCCAGATGGAGCATGCTGTATGAAGTACCCCTATTTTATACATGTACCACCTAGCGGGCAATTACACTCTGCAAAATACAGCTTCATTTCAGTAGGGCTGGGAAGCAATTCAATTAATTTCTTTTTAATTTATTTAAGATAACATGAAAATAGAAGGGCATTGTTTATTCCACGAACTCTTCTTCTTTGCTATTTTGCATAAATGTGTGACGTGCTTAATGCTTTTTCACCTCCTTTGAGATGAAACAGGAAAGGTGAAGGCTGAATAAATAAATAAATTCCCCCAGAATAAATATGGAGGCTGACTCCTTTCTCTTCCATTTCTTTTCCTGCATAAAGACAAAACAAGGATAGAGTCCAAAAGAGAACATTTAGGCTTTGTGTTTGTACATATGAGTGCCACTGTCGGAGACTATTTCTTACGTATGTGATTCGATTTGGCCACTTAGCTTCTCTCAGAGCTTAGAGTCTGGATGCGTCTTGTTCATAACATACAGTTGCTTTTCTCCAAGCACACACACACACAGATGGAGCTGCTCTGTGGATGAGGCTTATTTGGTTTTATGGAGCCAGTGGGTAATAAAAGGTTGTATCACCAGTGGTGTCTGGTGGTCTATCTGAGAAGCCTGCACTGATTATTACTTTACCTTTCATTGTTCCTCTCTCTGCTTGCGAGTTGAATTTATTTTGTTCCTGCTGGTGGCACCCACTGAGTAAATATACACTTCCTGTCGAAACATGCTTACTCCAGAACAAACTGTCAAATACTGTCTTTGTTTTTCAGAGAGACTGGTCAGCTTGTGTGAGTGGATTGAAGTACATTTTGAAAGATTCATACTGAACAGAGAGACTCAGGGCAGACCAAGGTCTCTGCTTTCGGATTTTTGTTTGCACTTGTTGAAAATTTTAGTGAACAGAGTTTCTCCCTGTCTAGACAGTGTCAGTGAATCATCCAGGTAATGTTTTCAACCCACCTAAGCTATTTGTCAAGCACTTCATTTGTTACTTTATTTATACTGATGCCTCACTCGTCTTTAAAAGCAGCTCCAGAGATGCATTTGTGCCCGCACATACTTTATTTCTGCTTTCATAAGAGATTAAGGCTAAAACATCTGTCAGCAAAAAAAACATTTTTTTTTCAGCTTGATTGGATTATATGTACTAGGGTTGCTTGATATGGACTTAAAATTTTTTATCACTATATTGATAATGAATATTTTGGCTGTAATATATGACTGTATCAGTATAGAATCACATTAACACAAATAACTCTTACAAATACATACAATTACGTACTATAACAAAAAAAAGATAATATTTTATGGTACATTACATTGTAGCCAGAAAACAATATCCAGGTTATTGTGTGCTGTGGTCTCTCCTAAAAATTAGATCTGGATCTCAATGGGAGTTCACCTGGTTAAATAAAAAAATAACAAAATAAAACTATTATGTGGAGCTACTTTTTAGCAAATTAACAACCTTTTTCCACCTTTCACATAAAACCAAGGTCATGCTGTGCGTGAAAAAAAAGCAACAGAAGACATATTTGGAACAGATTGTGACTTAAAGGTAGAGCGACTGCCCCATATATAAAAACTTGTCCTCAGTGTAGCGGTTCCAGGTTTGATTCCTGACTCTGGGATCTTTGCTGCATGTCTTCCTCATATCCCCATTTTCTGTCTAGCTCTGCAAATAAATCCTACTAGTGCCAGAAAAACCTTTTTAAAATAGAAGAAAACATTTATTTGACCAACATCTTTTGAAACACAACAATCGATTTTCTTGCTGGGCTTAAGAATTTTGAGAAACAACTAAGCGAAACAAAGATGTTTCCTTTCTCACCACCCTTCAGCAGTGAAGGCCACCACAAATTTAGGTTGTATTATGTTCCTGTCAGTTGTGTTCACAAGTATGCTGTTCAAAGCCCAACCCTACCGAGTGCATGCTGTTCAGCCTAAAAAATAAATTCTAGTTTGACTTCACATCATGCAACATTTTATCTTTATTTGTTCTTGAAACAGTGAAATATTTAAACCATTAAAATGTCAATAAGAATTTGTGTTTTTCATGAACTCGTGGAAATAGATCAGTATTTGTTAATGTGGACTTTCTGATTGAATCAAAAATAAATTGCTTTTACTATGAAGATTAACAAAAAACAAACAAGTAGCGGTCCCTCACTATATTCATTCTACTTGTTAATATTATTGTTAGTTGCTTTTAAGCAACTTTAATAATAAGCAACTTGTTAAATCAACTTTAACTGTTAAGCAACTTTAACAATAGATTCTTTTAAGATTATCAGAAAGCAAATTTCTACATTTAAGTTGCCAAGACACACTACCAATGAGAAGATGTAGAGGGATGAGCATTTTGTGAATGAATATGAAAAAAAGGAAGTACAATAAGCCAAAAGTCAATTTGTGGCTAATTTAGGAGTGTGAGAGGCAATTTAAGGATTTAAGCTCAATTTCACTATAAAAGTTTTTTTGAAATAGCTTTGAAACCAGTTTTGTATCAGCCACTGTTATCCCACAGTTTACAACTTTTAAATCATAATATGCATCTCTGTTGATTGCATTCTTTCTTGCCCAGACAAGTAGTCCAAATCAAATCTTGAATCTTGGAGACATGAATCTGAATTAGGATGTGATAATTTCGAGAAGAAATTTGAGTCAATGCTTGAGTCTTTAGAGTGAAATTCTAAGTAGAATAGAAAACGTGTGTCTAGTCTGCATAGCTCAAGTCTAGTCTCATGTCTTTGGAGCATCAGTTTAAGTCAAGTCTCGGGTAATAAGTGTGTGACTTTAGGACCAGTCTGGTGCAAATCTAAGTAATAAGTCTTTGTTTTCTCAGTGTCATTTTAATCTCGGGTTCATGTACTCTGAAGCATTTTTGCATAAAGGATAGGATTATTTACAGTAACGGTTCTAACCATGGCGGTCAAACAACAGTAAACCCTGATAAATCCAAAATGAATGTCTTACTGCAGGTGTAGGAAAATATTTAAACGAGCTATGAAAATGTTGCAAGTTGTTTCCAATTTGGAAAACAGTGGTGG